AAATGGAAAACATAAGCGATACTAAAAATATATTGTACTAGCTCACCCGACAATCGTTGTTTTGTCATATAAATTATTTCTAGAGAATATTTTGCTAGAAAAAAATAACTTATTTAATATAAGTGTGTAAGGATATGGTATATAAGTGGAAGATGTATGGAGTGCTGTGAACAGTGACGAAATATAAAAATGAAAAAACATCATTTATTTTTTTAATAATTTATTAAAATTGATCTTTTAAAATTATATATATCGCTAATTATGACAATATTAGTAAAAAACAATATTAATCTCTTAATACAACAGAGTGCACAATATTTTTTGTGATTCTATCTTTTGCCAACACAAACAAACTGGATGGTTCGAAAGCACACCACGTAAAGTTGGTCCGTGTGAAAAACATGATGTACTCAAATCTAAGCCACAGACAGACATCGTTTGGCCTTGAGACTTTTTTTTTTTTAATTTATGAAACGTTGTAGATTTACAATTAGCTTCAACAACTATATATAAAGTTAACATAATATAACATAATATATAAATATAAATGTTACAATAATTTTAAGGAGAAGGTATAGGAAAATAAGATGAAAGTAAGTGGTTGACAACTGTGTTTAAGAGAAGTAATAAGGGGTTAATTATGGCTTTGAAATCCACGAGAAATTTGGAGATCAAGCTTTCGGACGTAGCTGTTGAGGGTGAAGTTTTGGCAGTAACATTGGCATATGAACTTTTTATTTCTGGTTAGAACTGGAGGTTATTTTGTTTATAGACGGAATGGTGTGATTGAGCACCGGATGACAATAAGTTTTCAGTGATGGAGATTTTCTGTGGTTTCTACTAAGTTTTTTAATCACTGGACATCCTTTGTATGAGGCTGTGTGCGGCCCCAAAATAGGACACACTTGGCGAGTTTTGATGGTGATTTGGTACAATTTGAAGTGTAATGGTTTTCTCCACATTTGACACAACATAAGGATTGGTGGCAAAAGTTACTAGTATAATAATAAGTTCGACAATCGTGGCATTGTGGAAGGGAGAGTTTTTTCCTGGGCAGCTCAATTTTGATTCTGGTGTGAAGAAGCAAATCTAATTTGAGAATATCACTGTTATTATCAGCAACTTTTAGATCAATTCGAAAAAGAGGCAAAGATCTTTTAGCGGTACGATGTACAATATTAGAGACCCGAATAACTTCGTGGCCAATATCAAATAAGCTGGCTTGTATGTCTTTCACAGCAGTAAACGGGTGGAGGTGCCTGATAAATACAGCATATGGTTTCAAACTATTAGGCAGGTATGTGTGGAAATTTATCTGTTCATTAGTGATAAGATAATTATAAACTAGATTATAATTACTGATGCCATCAGTGCGAATAATCAGGTGCTTTGGGGTATTTTTAAAATTAATACCCGAAGGAATGACAAGGTCGAGTAAGGATTTCTTGAGCGTGTAAAATTCGTAGCCACCGCTTAAATAGAAAGGCGGTGCAAAAAAAAAATTTGTTTTGTACCTGGAGTGATTTCCACGTGACCGGGCAAAGCGTTGCACTGGACTTTGAAAGGAATTGCGATAACGGGAGGGTTATACACCTCCTGATCGAAAATGTTGTCCTTGGAGAGTGAAACATAGCGATTTAGTGTGACGAATACTTTACTTTGATTGCCGCTAGATTTTGTGGGTGAAGATGATAACGAAGAGGATAAATTGCATTTCGAATAATTCCGAGACATTTTTTGATTAATAATATTAGATTAGGCTCATTAGAGTAGTGTACAAAAGATAACGGACAAACAAAAACGACGTCTGTTCATGTTGGACGATGAATGTAAACTGAATAAATCAAGCATTTAAAATAGTATTTTCAATAACATAAATAACGTTAAAATGTATGATAAATTAACATTGTGTGGAAGATTAGTGATACATGGAAGGGAAGAAGATTTCCAGCTTAAACCCCACACCTTTGAGTTGTATCTTTATGAAACTAATTTATGTTGTATAATTTACTCATTGGCGTGCGAAGGAGTTATGAATGAGGAGGGGGCATATATTTCTAATGCAGATAACATGTACAATTAGATCCAACAGGCCTCCACGCTCTCAAATAAATCATTGCGTTTAATGAATAAAAACATTTACAATTATGAATATGTATTGTGACTAGTTTCAAGTATAAATGTAGTCAAGGAAAATTTTTAAGTTAGGAAAAGTAAGAAAAAGAAAAATGACAATACGAGGAAGTGTATCCTTCAACTACTTCTCCTCCCCTACCCCTATAAGTTTTCCGCTGAATTCACTGAACACTAACTTAAACCAGCAGTCACTTTGTGAGATGAATACTATGCCGTTTCACTGAACGTTAAAAATTCAGAATATTTTGACAGTCAAATTAATTTTTTTACCAACGTTTGACGTTGGTGGTTTAGAATTACCTATTTTCTTATTGTATGAGATAACTGATATATTTACGAATATTGTCGATTTTTTTTTTTTTTCTATTTATAATTATGTGGGGTTTATTTTTTATATTATTTGATGAAATAAATATGGTATGCACTGAATTTTGTATCAAATTTACTATTTTTTTAATTGGGCATAAAGTTCCAATTTTTAAATAAACTCCTCCCATTTACTCTGAAAAAGTGTAATTAAAGTATGACATACTTTAATTGAGTTTATAATTGAGTCTAGAGTCTAGTCTATACTCTATTGATTGAAATTTAAATATAAATATAAACATTTACATATTAACATATGTAAATGTACAAGTATGAGATTTAATCATCTATCATATCGATGAATATTATGTGGATACTAAAAAAAACTGAATTTGATTAAAATCCTAATAAATACAATTTTATTTTGATTATAAAGATAAGTTTATGTATTTTTATTTTTGTATTCCCCATATATTATATTAAAACGATGAATTTTTGAATTAAGATATTGATATAGAATTTTAAGTATTTTATGGATAATATTTTCAAAAAACTTACATTAAACTTATTTGTTTTTTTAATTTTTCAAATGGATTTCCTTATTTACGTTTATAGATTTTAATAAATAAATACGTAAATATTATTTCGAAATATTTAACTGATGTATATAGAAATATTATTACGGCCCTTGATAACCGTTTAGCAACGAAAAAGATTGTAAATTTTATGAACTGAAAATCAATTTATATTCTTCGCTTACACATTATACTGCAATTTTCATATACAGTGGCGCAACCAAGATTTGTTTTCGGAGGAGGGGGGTTACACATTTGAAAAAAATTGAAATTTGGAAGGTTTTTGATGGGGAGAATAAGGTAAAGTTGAGTTAACTGAATATTTCGAGGAATATCACAGGCCCCGAACCTTCCCTAGTTGAGCCACTGCCTACACATATCGTTAATGTTTCACGTATAATTCATAAGTGCATGCAAATTCTACGGTTCGGGAAAACCTTAACTTCAAAACGATTCTTATAATATATTAAATAATTGTCTACATATGAAGTACATGAAAATGTATAGTTTTAATAAAACATTTTATTTTAATTAATCCTGCAGCTTTTACAGATTGATATTAGTAATAACATAACATACGTATATGTATATTAGAATAGTTCCGGGCCCAATTTTTAGGATTCAGATCCTTTCACGGTATTCCGGTATTTATATCAAATATAATGATACCAGTTCTGTTTGTTCAGTAAAAAATAACTTTCATAAATCTCCATCTTTCCATGTAAAACGGGATTTATAATGTGCTGTTTAAAAAATAAATGTTATTTAAAATATCGACATTTCGAACATTTTCGATTTCTCATTGTAAAATCTCAATAGATATTATATATTAGATACAATAAGTGACGCTATACGACTGCGAAACCTCAATACTAAATAAGGTAGAAAAACGAATCCTAGAGAACTTTGAAATGTGGTTTTAAAAAAGGATGCTGTGAGTGAGTTGGATAGAACACCGTACCAATGAAAGCATACTAAGTGAAATAAAGATAGATACTCAAAACCATCAAAGCAAGACGATGGAACAGGATTGGTTACATATTGAGGCATGAAAATTAACTAGCTTATAGAATAAAAGAAGGGAAAATTGAAGGTAAGAGTGGTCGAACTTAATTTTTTGGACAAATTATCTCCGATGCCACACAATCAAGCTACACAGAACTGAATAGGTTAGTTGGAAACAAGGAAGAGCGGAAAACGCGGATCAAACTGCAATACCAATCATCAGGTTTAATACGAGAAGAGGGAAGTACCTAACATTTCATGCACATACACTTGTAAAACGACTGAAGAATACGAGCATTTTAATACAATCATATTAATTAATTCTTTTATTGTGTAATATATGTTTAATTTAGATAAAAAAGATTTATGCAATTCAAAAATAATTCTTAATCCTCAATAGAGTAAACAATAAATAATTGTTATTATTACACATATATAATATGCACTTTACTCATACTAATTGGTATAGTATAACCATTGTTGTAAACTGTAGTTAACAAGCATTTGAAATCAAAGCTAACCCAAAAATGATCAAGATTTTGTTGAAAGAAAATATGAATTATATCAAATCAACACAATTTTATCAACATGAAATTGAAAAAATAACCTTTCAAAGGATAGTCAACTTTCTAATAAACACTATGTAAAACGTTAACATTTTTAATTTTAATTTTAACTACCCTAGTATTTTTAAACAAATATAAAACTATTATAAATAAAAAAAAATTCTTCATTCAATTAAATTACTTTAACTTTAATATTAATATTTTTGTAAACTTATTTTAGAGTGATAATTGTTCATATGTCTACGAACTTAAAAAATTAATACAAAAACAAGATCCATAAGATTCCAAATACAAATACATATTTAAAAATATAGTATTAGTCCTTTGATCAGATAATTGATTTTCTTTTAAATACTCGATAGATTTACAAATATATTAAATGTTTCATTATAGGTAATAAAAAAAAAACTCATTTATTCGTCAAAAGAAAATATATTATTTAATAATATTAATATTATTATATTTAATATTGAATGAATGATTTCACAGGAATGTCAAGTTTCTTTCTTCCTTCTAAATCACATAATTCCATAATAACTACCGCTTGAACTACTTCAGCTCCAGTTTTCTTCATTAGTTGTACTGCAGCTTGAAGAGTACCTGAAATAAATATATTATTCTTTTAATAATTCAAAACCTTAATGTAATTATAACAGAACAGAGGACTTGATATTTGTTTACCAATTAATTAAGAACAATTTATCTATATTTTTTAATAATATAGTACAGTCAAAAAAGGACACTCACAGGTGTTCAATTAAAAGGCACAATAAATAAACTGTTTTTTTTTTCAAAACTTAATTTTTCTCTTTTTTCATAAGATCAATCTTTCAGATTATAAAATTCCTTTGATCAAATAAAGTCTTGTTTTAAAGTTTAAATAGTATGCCTACAAGAAACCATTTAAATTGAATTACTTTTCTGTTAAATACATTAAACGTAACTTAGTGCTTTTTAATTGAATGGAAGTGATCTAATAATATTTATTAACAAATTATTTTAGTTAATTACCACCAGTCGCTAATAAATCATCAATAATTAGCACTCTTGTTCCTTCTTTTAAAACACCTAATTGAACTTCCAATACATCCTGCAAGTACAATTTTAAAAACAACATGTTTAAACATAAAATATCAATTTGTAAAGTAACAACATTTAATTTGATAAAAGAATCTTTTAAATTTTTAATTGATAGCAGTTATTAATTTAGGTAAATTATAGACAAAAATTAATTTTCAAAATTTAATAAGATTTTAATTTAAAAATCCTCATATTTTTTTTTATTATTCAACCATACTTGCCATTATTGTACAGAAGAGGCGGTTTGACATTTTTCAGTTGGTGTTTCAAGAAAAGGTTATACCACTCATCCACCACAAAATTACATTTCAAAAATTATATTTTTTTCTTTTTGCTGTTTATGAAGTTGATGTAATTATTGTATCTACCAATTTTTAATTTTTACAAATCAATTAGTCAACAAACTATGATATTCATGATATCATATTACCATCAGTAGAAGGAAGATTTACATGCAATTGCATATTTATTCTGCTTGGTCGTATAATATGCTAAGATAGCACAACATTTGTTCAATGGCACAATGATTTAAACAATCAAATATTTTTAGACCATATTTTTGCAAATTTCGATTTTTTTTTTTTATATATATATATATTTTTTAAATATTTACTAGGTATTGTAATACAAGAGGTAAATCTGTTTATGAAAAATATAGAAAAGTATTACCAAAAAATTAAAACTACAACATACTAAAATATTAAAACTTTTAAATGGCAAAAGTGAATCAATTCAAACCAACGAGGATTTACCTCCAAATTATTACTTTTGAAGACGAGGAAAATAATTTTCAAGATATAAAATTTGTCAACTGACAAACGCCAATCAATGGTTTTTAATGTGCATTTAGGAAAGATCATATCATTAACTATATATTTTTGATATTAATTGATTACTCGTTTTCTTATAAATGAAAACTACGTACGAAATAATTTTTGTCAGTAAATCCCTTAGAAATTAATAAAAAAGTATTTTCAATAGGGTTACATAATTTTAAATATAATTTTTTTCTAATGTATTATTTTAATTAAACATTCAAAAATAATTTTTTTTTCTTTTGATAAATTTTAAATGTATATTTTTTTTTCTTTAATACATATTTCAACACATTAGTGCATATACTTGTGCATGTTAAAGATTTTTAGCACATATTTGGTTGGTTTTTAATACATATAAATCCGTGCTTTACCTATCAGCTACCAAATGCAAGTGCTCGTCTATTGAAAATAATACCCATCCCCAATTTTTTGGTGGTTAAGTGAAACATAGAAAAACAATGTTAAACCATCTCTATCAAACAGCAGTGTCAAATAGATAACATGGCAGTAGCAGTGTGATAAGAAAAATCTGGGGATCTCTGTACTTGGATGATATTACCAAATACAAATAATACATCAACAAATCAACTACTGTCACAAAACATTATAAAACTGATAATACATAACTTAATTTAAAAGCAATTATTCATCTAATGACTTCTTTATAAGAATAAGTACAAATTTTATATATATATATATTTGATATTCAAAAAAATTATCAAAGCAACTAGATTGGGCTAAATTTACTGATAAATACTGCTTCACTAATCTACCTGATGTTAACTATAACCTTCTTTGATTATATACTAATTCAATAGTTAAAACTGATAATACATTTTTAATTTAATTTTAATTAACTTTGAATATATCATTGAAAAAATTATAAAAATCAATTTACTAATTGGAACAAATTTAAACATAAACTTGTGATAAACACATATTCTTTACATAAATAAAATATAATTACTTTAGCATACTCCAAACTATACTCCAATTGAGCTACTTTTCCAGGTAACTTTCCCTTTTTTCTTACTGGAACACAAGGAACATTCAAATATAATGCCATTAAAGTACCCAACAAAAATCCTCGAGCTTCCAACATTGCAACACAATCAACCTTACCAGCAACCTCATTACAATATTTTTTTAAAATATTATTTAACAACTTTAATCCATCAGTGTTTTGAAAAACACTAAATATATCTCTGTAAATATAAAATTTTCAAACAATTCATTAATGTATACATTTTTTTTTACATTTTTAAGAATAAATTTCAAAATTTTTAAATTGTTAGTGCTCTCAAATGTTACTTATAACTAACCACCAAATGTTTGGATTCATCAAAACATTGATTTTTCAAATATTGATTAATTCATAATTATAGTTAATTTTAGAGACTTTTTACACTGGAAAACTACTAATATTAAATTACTGACATTCAAAATAATACTAGCAGTGTTAAATATGATATTCATGCCAAAAATGAATAAGAAAAGTATTCAAATTACTTGCCTAGGCAGTCAATAGTATGCTGAACATCATGTAGGGTATGTATTTTAGGATACAATAATATAAAATATTACATTACTAGATAGTACATTATAGTATACCTAAGTGATAAGTGCCAATTGAAAATAAATTTGCAACCAAGCAATACACAGGAACTAAACAAGGAATTTAATCAAATGCACATGTTAAGTTAAAATGTCAAACCAAAAAGTTTTAGTGTATAAAAAATAATATTGTATGCAGTTGAAAATGGCATGCACCAACTTTATGCAGCAATAAATTAATTAAAAATAAATTAAAATAATAAAGATATTTTGATTAAATAACATTCCAAACCTTGTATTTTACCTAACATAATCAATGGCATTCTATAGAAATTCTAGGAATTATATAAATGATCTAGGTATAATTTAAAATAACGTAAAAATTGTATAACATAAAATACAAATAGTACAAGGAATTCTATAGAATTCCAATATTCAATACTTTGCAAGTAACTTATATATCATACATGTTATAGAAATAACTGACTAATTATTATAATATAACTATTAATCATTTTATGAAAAACATATTTTTTTTTTTTTTATAATTGTAAGTGAAAAAATTCATCATTAACAATTTAATTGTGCCAAGAAAGGATTATGTAAAAAATTCTTTAAATGTTTGTAAACTGTAAAAATATACAGAAAATAATTTACTAGACTTAAAAATTTGTGTAAAACACACATTAAAACTACACATGAATACTACCAACAAAATGTCTAAAAATACATTAATTTATTTTTTTTTATCATAAGACAAAAATTAATTTTTAAATACTGTAATTTTATAGCAGGAACCAGATATAAATAATTTCAATATAATATTTAAAAACTATGATTAGCATACAAGTTACTACATTCGTCAGTTTTTCTCCTGATACCTGAAACAAAAATTGTTAAAAATAATCTACCTGAATAATATTCCAGGCAGAGGAAAATCTGGAAACGATTTTATGTAACCCTTCAAGGCAATTGAATCTTCTTCAATACTACTATTTGACATTTTGACTTCTGATAATAGAATTCCAGCACACAAGCAAAAACAGATTAATCGGCCTAAAGTAAAATAAAATATGGATTAACTAAGAATAATAGCGAACCACCACGAGACAATAATTTGAAAAAAAAATGTTCTCTTACTGAACGTATTGCCACGAGATCGATAACTGCAAGTGTTAGAATCTAACACTTGCAACCTATCTAACAGTTTGATAATATTATAATACCTATGTTAAAATTAAACGATTATAAATTACTATTTGTTGTCGTTATCTATTTTGCTACTCTAATGGCATCACCAATGTTCCCCGATTCCACTGGTGCGTTCTGTGCACACAATGAGTCAGTCAACCTTTAAATTAAACAAGATGAAAAAAAACAAAACAATTAACGTTAATCAACGTAGATAAGGGTTTTTTTTTTTTCATTAATGAGATATTTTAATTAATGCGATAAATCCTACCGGTTGAATGATGATAGGTTTTCCTCCGTTCTGTTCAATGTTTTTATCTATTCTATGGCTCTGCACGTCTCATGTATAAGTTAATGCACGTCAGGTAAAGCACTCAGGTCACACTTCATGAGTTCACTGATAACTGTTGCACGTTTTCAAAGAAGCATTGATCACAGGATAAGTCGACTTATCGCGTTATAGCTGATTACAACCCGTTGAGCACACGAGCGTCCGGAACACATTTAATTATACACGATTATAGCAGAATGTTTTGTCATTATAGATATGATCTATCTATAAAACATAATATGTACTATATTTTAGTAAAATCTATCTATAGTCGTGTCCAGAAGCAAATTTCTTATCAAATTGGACTTATTATAAATTATAATTTTTTCTTCTATCACGGTTCTTGTACTCACAAACGTCCAGAAACGGCACAAGAGCAAATAATGCTTAAGTAACACTTATTAAAAGTAAATAATACAAACGTATAATTTATTAATAACACTTTATATATACAACTAGAATCAACAATTTTGACAAAATCAAATTATGTTAATGAGCATAAAAATATATTCTCTTAAATAAATATAAATATTAAATTTAATAAAAAAAAAACACAATATCATTTAATTTTAATAATTACAGTAAATTCTTGTTATTTTCAATTTCAAGGAGAGGGAAAAGTGTAACTAATAGGATAAAAATTAAAATTTAAAAAAATTATAAAATTTGTTATTGATTCTTAAGTTCGAATGAAATTTGAACGTACTAGTTTTATAAAGAAAGAGATCTGTTAAACAATTTCATCCACTGAAAACATTTTTTTTAACATATAATTTTTTACTTATATAATAAATCAGCCATATTCAATCTTTATTTATTTGAAACATGAACAAATTTTTGAAATATACGTTTCGCAAGTGATAACATTATAATTTGATTGTTTTTTTTATATTAACGGTAAAGATTGGGAGATTCAGATAAAATTAATATTAACGACTCATTCATTTAATTTATTCTAATTTAATAAATATTAATTCAAAATTAGTGTGGTTTTTGATGTTGAGAAATTTTTTTCATTTTATTGGACGGATTATAGTTGCTGCTCGGAACAAGTTATCAAGAGGTGAATCAATCAGCCAATTTCTATACACATTATTTCCATATTATATTTTTAAATACTGAATTCTCCCATGTATGTTGATATGAAATTAGTTAATAGCAAGTAGATACATTTTTGTTCTTTTCTTTGAAAATTAAAAATTTGAATCATACTTTATCTTTTTCAAATTGCTTTGCATGATTATATCCCATTACAACTAACTGGTTAATACTAGTTTTTAAGTAACAAGAATCATACGAACATATTAGTTTTTTATTTATTTTAATAATTGTGAAATATTGTACTTTTTCATATGGACTCAATTAGTTCTTTTAGACCCACTTATACTTTAATTACAATTACTAAATGATTCAGTAATATAAAACAAAAAAAGGAAGCAATTTTTTTATTTATAATAATCTAAATAAAAATTTAAAAAAAAATAAATGCAATAATATAATAATAACATTAATATAATAGTAAAAATATTTTTATTTTTATTCTGACAATATTGATACAATGGGGAAATCCAATTTGTTTCGCCCGTTTAACTCCAATTTTTCCATTAAAACAAATCCATGTACAACTTCTCCTCCACATTTTTTTATTAACCTTGAAGCTGCTTCAAGTGTACCTGTTTAAAAACAAGAATATAATTTGTAACCAAAGTTCAACTGTTAAATAATTCTAATAGCTGATCAATTATCATTTTATTACAAATAATTGTACATATTTTAATATATATTTATCACTTAAATGCTTATTTTCAAATTAAATCTTAAAATATAAAAATGAGAATTAATTAAATCAAATTTCTAAACATATATGTCTATAGCACTTAAAATTGTTGTATTCATAATAAATAACTGCTGTAATGTTTACGACAAAAGCAAAATAAAAAATTCTAAAAAAAAAGATTAAAATCAAAATAAAACTGTAAAAATTTTCATTAAATCTTAGAAATGTATAAAAATTGATTTTTAAATGTTCTTCAAAATCAAAAAAAAATGTTTCAATGCATTTGACTAAGTAGATACATTTTATAACAATTAAATACCTACATAATTCATCTAAGGTCTAACTATTAGTATAAAGTATTTCTTTTATATCTAATTGTTTATACCACCAGTAGCGAGGAAGTCATCCACTAACAATATTCTCTGTCCTTTTTTTATGCTATTCAACTGTAATTCCAAAGAATCCTGAATAAAATTAAATACATATACTATGCATTTATAAAAATTTTTTAATAAAAATATTTTAAACAAATAAAATTAATAAAACAAAACAATAATAATCAATTACCTCTCCATATTCCAAGACATAGGACAACTCAATTACTGGACCAGGTAAACTCCCTTTTTTACTTACGGGTATACATGGTACATTGAGTTCTAGCGCTAGTATTGGAGCAATCATGTAACCGCGACTCTCCAACATTGCTATGCAATCTATTTTACCATGAAAATTAAATGAAATTTGTTTCAATATTCTATCCATCAATTGTATTCCATCTGCAGAGTTAAATACTGATAATATGTCCCTATAATATAAAAATATATGAAATACTTATGTTTGATACAAATTCTAATAATTTTAAAGTTCCTATTGATTTTTTGTTACTTTTTTTAAATATGAAACCCTGAAATTGCAGTTAAAAATTAATTAAAACATATCAAATGTTATAAAGATTTAATATTATTAGTACCATTGATTTTATAATATATATATATATTATACATAGTATATTATAAAATCAATGTTAGTGCAGAATAAATTAAAAAGGCATAACTATTAATTTTGAAACTGATTATAAATCAATATCAATATATGTTCTTAATTGTATGGCTCACTTATAAAGTATTCCTGGTTTAGGGAAATCTGGAAAATATTCAATATAGTTTTTTAAGTTATTGATGTTATCTTCCAATGTATTTGTAGACATCATGACATTTACTTAAAAACTGCTTGAAATTTTAATCTAATTACAAAATTGGATTCAACAGGGTATGAATTTTCAACCAGTTAAATTTAAACATGTACTACTGAACTAAAAAACAAAACATGGACACTTCAGAAATAAACTTCACAAAATTGGATTCAACAGGTTATTAATTAATTTTCAACCAGTTAAATTCAAACATATACTATTGAACTAATAACAAAAAACGGACACTTCAGAAATAATTAACTGATAAAACTTCAGTTATAGGCACACTAAAATGTCGACAGAAAATTATAATTATCAAATGGTTGTTTTATTTTTAAATCTATTTCACATTCTTCATGTGAGACTTGTAACACGATGAATGTAATAATGAATGTTGCGATAACATGGTATGTAAATGTTCAATCAGGCTAGTGCACTCTTCTGTAGACAGACAATAAAAAAAATTGTTCTGAATTATTATCGCAAGTATTGTATGAACGGCAGTAATTCAAAACCGTCAAGTAATAACATTAGTGTTACTCAATGCTCGATATTACACTGACATGGTGGTCCTATTTTAATGATATCCCAATCGAATAACAATACAATAAGTATCATTAAGAGGGCGTCACACCCGCATGTGTTGTCTTCGTCTGACATACGTACAATATGGCAAATTTGCGTCCAATGATTGAAATTTAGTGATGTTAGCCATACTATGCATGGTGTTGCTTCTCGATAACCACCGATAAAAAAGTTATAATCGGATGTTTATATACCTAGGTATATGTTGGTGTATATTACTTCAATTATAATCAAGTATGATAATATATTATGTGATTTACTTTCAAACTGATAGATAGCAGTATGTAATTAAAAAAATTTAACTATTTATCGATGGACCAGTATATATATATATGGAGGTGACAATATTCTGTTTTTCAATAATTTTAAATCAAAAAATATGTCTATGGATAATAATAAAAATATACCTGTGTTAATAAATATCTAAACTTTAAATAATTTCTAAGTAAAGTTCTACAGATAAGTCAAATATTTTATTTGTATATAAATAATGCACTATTGTTGCCAGTGGCGTTCTCAGACATTTTCAATGAGGGGGGCTCTGAAAATTTACTAGAATACAAAAGTGGGGAACTCTGATAAAAAATCACATTATCACAAATTGTCAACAAATTGTTAAATTGATAACGCGGTCGTGTCATAGAACATGTTCTATGATCGTGCTCCAATCCAACTTGATAACCGTGATACTGGTAACTAATGACTAGGGCTCGGATTTTGTAGCAAATGCTTCTTTTGAGGGGAGTGTGATAGAAAGATAATTCTTTTATATAAATACGTTTTGAATCGTTCTGATTTTAATGAAGTAAATCTTTTTTTGCTTTTTTTTGCTTTTTTCCATTAAACCTGCTTTTTATTGCTTTTTCTCCTATTTGGTTATTTTTTCTTGATTTTTGCATATTTTTCTTGATAATATAGCGAGGTATAGACGTATAGTGTTCTAAATAATTTTTCTCATTGTCTAAATGTCGAAAGTTAAAAATTAAAATTTAAAATTAAAAAAAAATCGTAAGAGAATTATAGTTTAAATAGTTTATATGAAATATGCACCGATTACATCGGTTGACGTGGAAAGTTCTTTTGCTCTGTACAAAAATATATTAAATATACTAACCCCCCCCCCCATAAACCTGAAATGGTAAATTAACTTTTACATGAAACAAGGTTTTTTCTTTAACATTTTTATATTTTAGAATTTTGACTTGGAAACAAGGGTGTATTAGAGGGATTGGCGAAGGAGGCATTCGCCCCCCCCCCATGGCTCGTATTTTTTTTTTAATATAATACATTGATTTATTTAAAAAATGTAATGCATAAATAATTAAGAATATAAATTACTAATCTATCATTATAATATGATAATAAATTCAATAATATGTCAATTTAATCACGGGTATCAATTTTTGTTTATCTTCATATATCATAACATTTTTCGTTGTGGAACGAATAGTGGTATTATCTTCCACAGATATTGCTACGATTATAGACATTTATAACCATAACCGAGGATTTTATCAGATAATATAAAGTAATTTAAAGTAACACTTTTTTACCACACATTTACTACATTTACTATTTTTTGGTGCATTTATGCATATTGTATAATTTTGTACTTGTAGATTAAATATACTAGTATAGTTATTTTTCTGAAGAAAATTGAAATCATTTTAAAGTGTTAGGTAATTGTGTAAAAAGAATGATTGTATTATATATATATTAAATCATACAAGTGCAAAGTTTGATTCATCTGTTGAAAATAGCTCATTTAATTTTTAAAATATTTTAAAAAAATAAAGTACTATTAATTCTTGATTTCTTGATTTTAGAATTATGATTCATTTTTATATATTGATGCATAAGAACATTTAAACATATATTATTCACAAGCCATATAAAATTAATATTTTAATATTCATTATGCAGTAAATATCTTTAAACTAGAATTTTTTTAGCTACTTTTTAGACTTATATTACTAATAGTTAGAAAATTAGTATTAAGAAGAAAATATTAGGATTTCAAATTGAAAAATTTTCCAAATTTAAAACCATTCAATCAGACAAATAAAACTTAAATGATATAATAATTTTGATCAAAAAATAATAAAGCATCTTTTTAATAGGTAAATAAAATTAAAGTAAAAATAATGCAGTTACATAGTTAATCATAGTATATTTTCATGTATGTATAACAAAACAATAAGTTGCAAAAAAAAAAAAAAAAAAAAGTGCAACAATAAGTTAAAATAAATTAAAAATGTTTGGTGAACAAAAATACTAGTCATAGTAAGTATAACTTAAAAAAATAACAATAAATCCACAGAACAAAATAAAATGTGAAAAGTATCACAATAACAAATATATATAAATTAAAAAAAAACTCAAAGGAAAAATAAGTTAAACTGTAAAATTGTAACAAAACATAAAAAAAGAAGAAAGTTAAAAAAATAAATAATAAATGATCATTTATGATTTGTATAAAATAATTCAGGCAAAAAAACTCTGAGTAAGAGAAAAAAATCAAAACAGAAAATAATTTAAACAATTAAAAAGTAAAAAAGGTAAAAAAAAACTCTATTTAAGAGAAAAAAACCCAACCCAGGAAAAAAATTAAGAAAAAAAATAGAAACAAAAAAATATTGGAAAAATGTCCCAGAAGTCAGTTATTTGGAGTTCAAAAATTGTGTAGTTTTCTCCAAATAGGTGGAATATGTATTAAGGCTATTAGAACGTCACCACCGATTTTTATATTCGGTGTCCAATTCCAATTTGTAGTGACAGCAGGTCCGAGTCGCCTGTTATCCTGTAACATAATAATAAGAAAACTGTCACAATGAGAAAATCATTTTTGAATTTAGTTCAATATAATGTTGTTTAAAATAATTATAATATAGCCAATTTTATTTACCTGTCGCAATTTCAAATATATATTTGTGCAATTCTGCCGTTCATCGATCATCACGTCCTCAAACTCTACACGGCCGAAGTTTGCGTTTCTCGATAAGTGTAAACACTGTTCTCAGTCAACGGTCTTCGGCACGTGTAGTACAGTTCGAGGAGCGATTTTCCTTGCCATACTGAGGATGCTTGACATGCCACCCGCTTCCCGGCTACACAGATCATTCGCGTCGAAATGTCTGGAATAGCCGGGTCCGCCCCACGGCGGCGATGTCACCACTGCATCTGCACGAACCCGGTCTAAAATGTTGAAACAATCGCCTACACGGAAGTCGATTTCTGCATCGACTCCGTATATTTGGGCATTTCGGCGAACTAATTTGATTTTAAATCCGGGTCGACATCAACAGTGATAACTGAAAAAAAAATGCAAAATTATAATTCGAACGTCATATTATATAAGACTAGCTTAATTACCCGGCTTCGCACGGAAAATTCTTGGCCGTGACATAGGTTTTATTACTTTACACTAATTAAAGCCAAGTTCGGTATAACTATTGGTGGTTATAAAACAAATAAAATGAAAGTTCAAATGAATCAGTATAGTAATTTTGGTGATACCTCTGAATTTCCGTATTTGCTGGTTCCAATATTTTTTTAAAATCCCTTCTTATTGCATGTTTTGTATATTGGAGAGACCACCATTTCAAATTTCAAGTTCATATAGTTTTGAGATGTAGCGATGATCAATAAGTGAGTTATACCTGACGTTGTCCGTTGAGAAAATTTTGAGTGTTCAATTCTTTTTGGGTGTTACCGTTGAACCTATACCTTCTTATTTTGGATTATTATTATTTTATTTATTCATTTTATTGAGAAAAGTCTGACAGTTCGAGGTTCTAAATAAATGCTATTTATTAAAGTGTATGTGGATTATACAATATTTTTTTGTTTTTCCTTTTGTATTGTGTACACAATTTGACACGTGAGTATACTATAGGCCACACACAGTTATCCATGTGAGAAGCATAAATTTTCAAAATTCAGTCCATACGCTTGTTTTACTTGTCCTTGTTATTTGTTAATGATCATTGAAAAAGCGAGTCACACTGGAAACCAGTGGCGTATACAAGGGGGGTGTTTGGTAAATATGACACCCCCCTTGAGCCGTATCATATATTACATTATTATAGGAATATAGGTAAATCGATAATACAATATGAAATATAAAATAATGCACAATACTAATTATATATATACAGGTTAACATTATCGCAATTGCGACAATACATGACGAAAATTATTCTTTTACATTTTCGTGCAACACAAAACGTTTAATAATAATAGGTATTGTAGCATCGAATACTGGTATTCGAATAGTCGAATATACAGTAGTATATAGTAAAGCTATCCGAATTCGAATATACATTACATCTTTATTACAGACATTATGTATACATATTAATTAATTAAAATAAAAGTTTTAGTTTGTACGTATTATATATATAGTATTTAATAATTATAATTAACACCCCCCCCCTTCAGAAAATCTTAGCTACGCCACTGCTGGAAACTGCAAAAGTTTGAATTCCAATGGCTTATCTGTTGGAGTCATTAGGATGCGTGGTAATAGTACATGTTCGCCTTTAAATTTTCCGTTTAAAATTATGACTTCGATTATGTTGTTATACAATTTAATAATTTACATAATTAAATTATTAAAATCAACATATTAAACAAATCAAATATTTCCTTGGTAACAAAAAATTTAAAAATATATGCAATCAGTCCAAAACAGTGTCGACCCTTAAATATGCGATTTTCGAAAAATCCTTTCATATTGCACGGTGAAAATATGAGAAGAACCTATATTCCAAATTTCAAGTCCGTACGTTGCGTAGTTTTTGAGATACAGCTATCAGTCAGTCAGTGGTATTTGGATTTTATATGTATAAAATATATAATATATATTTTATGTGTATTTTATATATAATGTATTTATAGAAATGTTATATTAAATATTTAAAACCATTAAAAAAAAAACGTAGATCTTACCACGGTGACACGTCAGAGCTATATGGCATTGCCACCAGCACCACAAAAAGGGTCGACGACTGTGTTAAACGAGCATCTTGACGCCATGTGTGCCGCGAGTATTTCGGGGCACACAGAAAAGAAACTAATTGAATAATGAAAATTATTTGTTAGCAAATATAATCAATTAAATAATGACCTGAAAAAAGAAGAAATTAAATTTCTCGAATTTTACATACCTTCGTCCAACACAACGCCTTCATCGAACCTCGAGAACAAGGAGTATCGTCTCTTCCAATATTTTAACGTCGCGATCAAAGTATTGATCTGAAAGTGTAACACATAAAGAAAGAATGATTAGATGTTAGTGCTTTAACTTAAAATATACTTAACAATTATGATTAACTTAAAATATACTTAATCATAATTGTTACTGACCTTCGGCTTCTCCGTTGTCCTCGGGTCTGTGGGGCTGGTGACTGGCTCTAGGGGCGGTACGGCAACTGAGATGACTGAATAGGGCACGGGAGTAAATATTTCCGTTCTTATTGAACCGTCTGTGGTTTGAACTCCAACGTCGGTGGTTTGAACCACTACGTTGGAACACTTCGGTGCCGTCTGCGATCCGAAGTCGCGTCGACCGAAGTTCCACTCCGTCTGGGTAGACCCGTCCCGGGTGGTGGCATGCGGTTTTTCGACGGTGGTCAACGCGAAGATAACGTCTGGTGACCAGAACACTCGCTACCGCCGACGTCTGTGTGGCCCGCAATTCTTCATCTTCGCACCAGTAATAGTTAGAGTAACGAAGGCCTAGTTGGCCACCCCCGTACCCTCGCAGTCGCTTGATGACGACCGAAGTGAGCCCGCTACATTAAAATCAGTTTTTACACCGGATTTATTGCAGAGTTATAAAGTACTTGGATAAAAGTTTTCCATTAACTTTTTGAATAAGTCCAAAGTAAACACTTTAAACATAAATTATTTTTTACAATATATTAAACAGGTACGTAATGTATTTAGTAGCGTGGCGAACTCCACAATTTTTAGAGGCAAGTACATTTTGTCGACACCCACCCACAAGGCCGTATATAGAGGGGAGGTCCAGGATGTCTGGACCCCCCGAAATTTCTTCAATATTTTACGAATGTTTAAAACGCTTATTTATTTTTAATACCAACATAAATATTTTCAGTCAAAAATACTTAAACTCCAATTAATCATTGACTGCTTTAAATTTTATATCAAAATATGATATTAATTTTAATAAAAAAAGATTAAATCTTTTTCTGTCTTATCAATGATTGTGCAGAAATCGGTCAGTTTTTAATGTATGCATCCCGTTTCATCTGTAGTAACTTTCTCATCACCGATATCTAACAATTGTTTTGAGAATCTTTCGCGCGCAGCTTTTTTTGATTGAATCGCAAGTAACGTAATCGTTTGCTCTCTATCTTTACATACATATCGACCATGAATTATTGACAAAGCTCACCACATCATAGAATAACGTTGTCTTGATCGCATCTTATCATCAACCGATATGCATAATAATCCTTCGAACTAACATTCTTGTTTGTTTTGGCACCTGTTGCGGGATCTTGTTGTTTAATATTTATGCAATACCCGTCATTTAATACCAAAAATAAAATGAATAGCTTTTAAATAGTTTTTAATAGTTTTTTAATAGTATCATTTAATAATTCATTTTCAATTGCGCAGTTATCGATCGGGTCAAAAATTAATAAATTAAACTACGATTTTTTAAACAATAGCACTTAAGAGTATAAAAAATAAATAAAAACCTATTCGCAGACCTACCAAATGTATATACAAAATTTCATTAAAATCGGTTAAGCCGTTTTGGAGGAGTATGGCCACAAACACTGTGACACGAGATTTTTATAAATATATATAGATGATACAAGTGGTTTTCAACTCTTTTTTGATTCATGTAACCGTTAGCAACTAAAATCAAATACCTCTTCTTCTGAATATTAAAATAATAAACAATCTTAACTGTATTTTTTAAGAATTTTTCTTTTAATAAAAAAAAAAAATACAGTATGCCGAAAAATAAAAAGTCATCATACATATGTGAATTTGGAAAAAATAAGCATTTTCTGCAGGTGTTTTGGTGAAAATAAAAAATTAAGATTTAGTTAGGTTTATGAGTAAAATATTTAAATTACAAATTAAAATGCTTAACTTCTATTTCATATTGTGATACCACAAAAAAAAGTATTATACAATCGATTATCGAGAAATCGTAGTAGCAAGATTTTTAATGTATTAAAGTTGATCGGAACGTTACAAAACGTTCCATATGGTCATTTTATTATTGTTAGCTATTATGTTACGAATAACATTGACATCTCATATCAATCAGCCATTTCGCGTGTTCAAGATAAACCATTTTTTCCTACGTAGAATTTTAAAAATCTTAAAAAAATTTCGGGGAGATTACAACCCCCAAACCCCACCACTAGTTGCGTCACTGTAAATATAACACCAAACAAATGGTTTAATTAAACGGTAAAACAATTTTTGAAGAATGGACGGAGAATTGAGGAGTATAATTTATACTATCTTTAGAAATTATAAAAATGTTATTAGTTTTAGCTACGGAAGAATGTTTTAGAATAATTAAATAATATAATAATTATCATTGATTGTTGTAACTAGTAAAAATCAAAAATCATAGTTATCGTTTAACAACCTTTGAATAAATTTCGAGTACAAAAAAATATATCAAATATAATTAGTCAAACTATCGAAAACAAATATTTAAAACAAGAATTATTTATAATTTAAAAGAAAAAGGAAGATTCACTTTGAAAATTAAAGAAAACTTAGTATTTTTACTTATTTTGTTTGTAAAATAATTCGTGAAGTTGAAAATTCTGTAGACAAATATTGAATCATTTTTCATTATAACACAATTTAGAATAATTAATAACATTCGTGCGACAGCTTAGAAAACAAAGAATCCAACAACTATCGACAATGAAATGAAAAAGTTTCGAATGACAAGTCCCTTAGTCAAACTTTGGTTCCCTGCTGTGGTCGTTACTCGTTGGGATCATGGTTATTGACGTAGTAGTCCCCGTCGAAATTTTATGCTCGGTAACGTCTTCGGCTCGAATCTGCTGTTGATCGCCGTCTGGTGGATATCACGTTTGCGCTCGGTCCGGGGAACACGGGACAATCAGCCAAGTGCAAGAAATGTCTATGGTTCGACCAAAATGTTTTGGGGTACTGTGAGTTGACCCAACAACAACCTGTATCATGCCGAACGAATTCATATTAAAACTGTGTCCAAGTTATGTGAAAAATAAAAAAATTTCTATCGGCAGGTGTCTCCAATAAACAGGCACTCTTCCGCAGTAAGTCGACGGACGACGAAATTTCGTCCACCGCTGAACATTCTACATTTCTATTTTATTTTAAGTTTTATTAAATTTAATTTAAATCACGTAAAAAATGTAAACGTTGAAATTTCAATGGGGGGGTCGGACCTGAAATCCCCCCCTTGGATACACCTCTGATAATTATATATTACAAGCGTCCCGTTATTGATTGGTAGATTGCAATCTGCGGTAGAACTCATTTCAAATTCTTAATCCTACGACTAAAGAGATAAATTTTTAAACAATAATATTTGTATGTATTATGTGGTTGTTCTGGTCTTCTCTTGGATTCAATGGAATTATCTAGAATTTTTTTAATAATTTTAAATTTATAAGAGTGTGCATATGCGTGTTGTGTGTATAAGCCCGAAAAACATACGACATGCGTCGTCGTGTTGTGCAATGATAATTGAAAATAAAATATTAAATTATTACTTATTTTTGTACAGATTTTAGTTATCTGTATATATAAAATGACTTGTCCTGGGTGATTCATCATCGCCTAGAATAGATGGAAATATAGCTATATAAACACAAATTATATTGGAGCAAATGCTAAAAAATTGTATAATCAATGTAATCGAACAACTTAACGATTAATTGAAAATTAAAAAAACTAGAATACTTCAATATAATTAAAAAATATTTTTTTTCGTATAACAATTATCTAATAATTAATTAAAATAAGGTTTGAAAAAAAATTTTTTTTATCATTCCTTGTTTTATTTAATATAAGGTGGTGCATATAAACCCCATACACCCATGCTTTATTCCCTCATTTAATTCCGCGATAGCGTCAATTTAATTAAATACAAATATTATTAAACACAATAGGTACATGCATATTTTACTAATCGACTCTTTTTTAAATAGTGTGCGGGTTCGACGGAATACTGACAAAATAAATGATACTATGATGCATAACTAATGAAATTCTGAGGATTAATATATTTGTCAAATTATGTGACTAAACACTAAAACAAATTTCTAGACAATACATAATGCAAATTTGGTAAACATATCTTAGGTCAGGATACTCACCCCAATTCTTCTTCCACCAAGTGCGCTAGATGTAATTTTACTGTTTAATTAAATTAAAAAAATCAATGAGAAATGTAATTATCTATAATCGGTAATTGGAGCATTGAAATTGAATTATATTTTGTGAATAATCTATAAGGCCTATTTCGTACACCACCGTTGATTTTATAATATTTTAATAACTATACCCCGAGTAAATATACTTGGAAACGGATTTCTAAATGGGCATTTGGCCTAATATCCTAATTATAGAATCACGAAAAGATTCATGAAACAGTGTGAAATTTTTTTCAAATGAGTTCAAGTCTTCCGTGACTAATGTTTTCTTGTAAAACCCATGCATTTTGATTTTAACAATATTATATATACATGTAGAATGTATTAACTTCAAAAGCCGTTTTAATTTTTTAATTAAATATATTTTAATTTTAATTGTTATCTAGATATATGCTAAGTAATCTGACTTTGCTCGACTCAATCCAGCCGAAATAGCGGTCCTTGTCTAGGCCGTTGCAAATTGAGGGGCCGATTTCATATTTTGGATAGAAGCATTATAATGCTATACTTATAGTGTAATATGTAATATAATTATTATTATTATAATAGCATTGCATGCTAATGTACTATATTTCTTTACGCAGGCTCATATTATTAATGTTTATGTTGCATACTTTATACGTTCAGCATAATTCAAATTAGAAAACCGCCGAATCATTTCACGTGCGGACATGACATGTGTAGTACTCTGCTAGATGTTCTTTCAGTATTTATACAATTATATGCTACGATTACTTGTTATTGAATAAGTAGTTAATGACTTAATTCAATTGGACCAAGTACCTTGAATTATCTCATCACATCGAAACAAACCATAAGTTTGAGCAATTTAGGGAATTCTTTTTTTTTGCTACTCGTTTTTTACACGATTGTTCGTAAATTGCGATTGCCAATTTGTTTTATCTTCTACTCTCCTATCTCGATAGTAAACAATACGCGTCATTTCGAGGGGGTCCCAAAGCGGGATCGATGGCTTATTTCATGGAGTAAAAAAATGGATGCACTCTTTAGTGTCCATGAAATTGTAGGTGTACGAGGAGTGATAAGAGAAAGGGGGCTAAATTTAGACAAATTAGTAATTAGTTTAACAGAAAGTGAATGAATAACGAGGGGTGAGTGTTATGGGCGTTCTAGATATATTTATAACTTATGCCATCTGCATCGATTGTTTCCCGTCAGCAGGTCTCCAATAATGATGTTGAAAGTGGTTTTTTAATGAATCCATTAAAATGTTCTCGATTAAATGCAATCATTTATTGATTGGCCTGTGCGTCGTACACTTTTGTTCGTCGGAAATAGGTAAGCTGTTAGTTAATGCGTTGTAGTATCTTGAGTAATTGCTGTGTTCTGTTTTATTTTCCAGCATCGTTTTATGGATCCAGCTACGTCAACGTACCTTATCAAGATGCCAAAAGCACGACAGAAATCAGTTTTGCATTTCGGACCAAACATTTAGATGCATTTCTGTTCTTGGCTGCTGGAAAAACGGATTACTGTTTCGTCTTGTTGGAAGCAGGCAAGCTCAAGGTAAAGATTAATCTTGGAGCTGGTGAATCAGAGATTTCATCTCCAAGAGGACTTCGGCTTGATGATCTCAACTGGCATCTTGTAAACATATCACGGAGGGAAGGTGATTTAAATTTGGTGGTAGATAAAATACATGTTGTCAGGTACATAAATTATAATGATTATCTTCTATTCGATTTAAAATTAATTTTGAAAATATATTACATTTTTTAGAGAAAAACTACCAATTGGATTTTACGAGCTAAATATGTATGGTGGCTTGTACATTGGTGGTCAAGGAGATTTTTCAGAACTGTTCTTAGGTCATACAAATGGTCTACGCGGATGTCTGAGAGACGTTCGTTATAATGCAGTTCCAGATGTGTTGAGTAGAGCCAGATGGCGAACAGGCAGGGCTGATGCTCATTCAATATCATGGGGTTGTGTAAATGAATTTGATGCACCAAGAGAATCAAGTATATCATTCCTAGAAGATGGTGCTTATATGGCTATGCCAAGTGTATTGACATCAAGAACTAATGTCAAGTAAGAATTAATAAATTTGATTAAAAAAGTATATTTATAAAATGTTTCTATTTTTATTAGATGGCAATTTTCCATTAAAACTATATCAGAAACAGGATTAATTCTCTATAACTCTAAAAAAGGTTCAACATTAAGTAGACATAATGGAAATGTAGATTTTGTTGGTGTTGAACTCGTTGGTGGAAAAATTCGGGTTGCTCAAAATTGGGGTTCAGGTGTTACTGAACTGTATTCTGACGTCACAATCAATGATGGAGTCTGGCATTCTGTTAATGTAGCTATGGAAGCTGGTGGACTTGATGTTACTATTGATGCACCTAAACACAGATATCGCTTAGCCTTCAATAACTCAGCCCTACCTTCAAAGCATTTAGATCTTTCAACTATTGTAAGTAGTAATAACATGGTTTTCTATTTTTATTTTATTTATTTTGTATTTTATATTTTGTAGTTATATGTTGGTGGTCTTGAAGTAAATATGAGAAGTGGAGCATTAGCCTCTGGTATGCTTTCGGCAGGTAACAGTTTTAAAGGATGCGTTCGAGGAATTTCAAATGATGGACGAGCACTTGGTTTACCAGATGCATTTGATACCTTCAAACTTATATCTCGTTGTGTTTGGTCATATCCTTGCACAGAAAAACCTTGTGTACATTCTCCTGACATAGGGTGTTCTCAAGTTGGAATCAATTCTTTTAAATGTACTGGGTGTGAAGATCACAATGACCCACAATGTGTTCGCCAAGAATTTGTTCAAACGCACAATGTACGTCGAGTTATGAACAGTTTTTTATTTTTTATCAAAAATTCATGTAAATATACATTTTTTACAGACCATGTTAAAAGTTCCATTACCAATTTCCATAGAAGTATTGAGTCTAAGCAATTTGATTGTTATTGAAGGATCTACAGCAACATTAACTACATCAATTATTAGTTTAATACTAGACTATAATCATTATGGAATTCGAGAAGCAGGTGTACAATTTCATATAGTTCAACCATTTGCTAAACATGGAAAATTGAATATTGATTCTTCTAAAACCTCTATTGGAACTTCAATTTCTACATTTAACATGCTGAATATATTAAAAAATGAGGTAAGAATACATAGAAGTCATCTTACCTTGCATTTTATTTTATCTTCTCTAATTTTTAATTTGAAATATGTATCTTGTAAGTGTAATTTTACTATTAATCTACAAATAGTTCATCAATTTAAATTATTTGTATAGTATATCTACAAAAAAATAAAAATAAATATTATTATTTAAAGTTTTATTAATTTTTTAGTAATATATTTGATTTAATTTAATTGTCTTAGGTAATTTATGTTCATGATGGATCCGAAAGTACACAAGATTTAATAACACTTGATCTTGAGTTTGTCTCTAATGAAGGATTATTATTACCTGATTATTTATCAGGTCGTCAAAGATTTACATTACCTGTAAATATTACTCCAGAAAATGATACTCCTACTGTTCGTATACCTGCTGATTACAGTTTACTCTTAGCACAGGTAAAAATTTTTACTGTGCTTATTGACAAATATAGTTAATGCTTGTTTGTGGAGTTTATTTAATGCTTTTGAGTTTTTTTTTAGTTTATACTTTGTGAATTAGCATGCAGTAGCTACTGATATTTTCATTATGAATTTTTTTGAGTTGAATTTGTAAGTAATTTTAATATATCGTTTATATTTTGTATATTATATTGTTGATTAATTTTAGGGTACGTGGAAAATGTTGGATAAGGATAATATTGTCATAATTGACAGAGATTCAAGCCCAGAAAGACTTATTGTATCTGTGATGAATATGAGTGGTGGCTATTTAGATACAACTGACAATCCAAATATTCCTTTAGAAACATTTTCAGTTGCTCAGATGAATAATGGTTTTATTGGTTATCGGCATACTTCCAATGAAACTGGACATTTTAGTTTTAATTTACAAGTGAGATTAAAAAATCAAAAATTTTAGCTAAATGTTTATAATTGTTTATTATTTTTATACTTAACTGTTTATTCTTTATATATTTTATTATAATAACATCTATGATATTTAATTTTTTTTTTAATAGGTCTCTGATGGGGAAAAAGAAAGTGCCATTACATTGATACCTGTTAATGTTTACAGTTTATTACTGACTCATGTTCAAAATACAGGTGCAATTTTGGCATATAAATCATCTGTTGTAATTAGTCCATCAAATTTAACATTTATTACCAATGCTGATGATCCATCTCTTGAGGTTACATTTAAAGTAAATATTTATTTATGCTGTATAACCTATTTATGTATTCAGTTTGTTTAAATACAAATTACCATTTAATTGTTGTACTAATTGTGTATTTATCAGATTATAAAACATCCAAAATTTGGAGCACTAAAATTAATTGATGGTGAACGAGCACAAGATAAAATCAGTTATTTCAATAATCATCAAATTGAAAAAAAACTTGTCAGTTATGTACATAACAGTGAAGGTTCTCCAACAAAAGATTTTTTTAAAGTAAATTAATATACCTAATGTAATTATTTATAATTGTTTATAGTATTTTATGATTTTTTTTTCTATTTAGTTTGAAGTATGGGCTGGACAAGTAAAATTAGGAGACACGTTTAAATTTGAATTAAATTTTGTCGAAGTACATTTGACTGTGGAAATGTTTGGTCCTCTTAAATGGCAAGCATCTAGTGAAACAGAAGTAAAAAGTGATTCTATCAAAGTTCAGACGCATCCTATACTTTTACATCCCAGCTCCATAACTTTTGAATTAACCAAGACTTCACATACTGCTTCCTTATATTTAAGGTTTGTTTATTTTTTTTAGTTACCTTTCATCTTATAAAATATTTTATTATTTATTATAAAATATTATGATTTTTTAGAAATAAACCCTTAGGAGATGGTGAAAAATGGACTCAAAATGACATAGATTCTGGGCTTTTGACTTTAAAATTACACCATGACACTTACTCTCCAGCATCGGATGTATTTGAAATAAAAATAAGCGCACCTCGTTGTCAACCTATTGTATCCAAACTATTAAGTTTTGAGTACACACCAAGTCCATTACTGCTTCAGGCTGTTTCTGCTTTCATCCATCCTCTTGAAGTAATTATTTATCTTAGTTATTAATACAGTAGAATCCTGTTAATCTAAACACAGGCTCATCAAAAATAAGTGGTTACCTGAACAGGTTTGAGAATTATCGCTTTTTGATATATTAATATGTAAATTTGTTCTAATATTACTTCTAACATTAACTCAATACTTTTATTATTCATTGTATTTTTCAATTTTAATTGATTAAAAAAAAATTCAAAATTTAAATTATAAGCAAATTGATTTTTTTTAGTCTGGTATTCCAAACGACCCCTTTCCATAATTTTGTTCAGATTATTGAGACTACTGTATTATATATTTTATAACATTTCTACAATTCTAACAAATTTCAGGTTATGGAAGGCAGTTCTTCTCCCTTAACTGATAAACATATTTCAATTAAATGTATTGGTGTAAATCAGTTACGTTTTGAAATTTTATCTGGTCCTGAACATGGATATTTACATTTACTTATTAATAACAGTACAGTTAAAAATGTAACTGTATTTACTGAAGATGACTTGTATGACAGTACATTGTCTTATTCACATGATGGATCTGAAAACAATCATGATCACTTTAAATTTTTGGCTACTTCAAAAAATGCCAATTTTCAAGTAAGTTTTTTTTATTTTAATTTTTTGTAAATTAAATTTATATATTATAAATGAATTATATGAATTACATGAACTTTTTTTTAGTATGTCGGTCTAGTTAATATTTCTATTCAACTAACCAATGATAACCCACCAAGTTGTTTGACTGAGGAAAATTTACGTGTAGTGACGGGTGGTGATAGAACTATAACTAATCACAATTTACAATGTCAAGACAAAGATATTGATACAGCAGTTGCATCACTGGTTTTCACTATAAATTCTATTTCAAATGGAATGATCCTAAATACTGTAAACGATCCATTTACAACAGTTATGAAATTCACTCAGGTATATAGTAATTATACTCAACAATATATTTTAAATGTTCATTTTACGTCAATAACTAATTTTAGGAAGAAGTAAACAGTGGAAAACTGATTTATCGTGATGAGTTTTCGGCCAACCATAGTAAAGTAAATCGAATTAGTATTGTGGAACTTGGTGTATTTGATGGAAAACACTCTATTGATCTTAAACTTCAAGTTGAATCGTCGCCACCATTTATAAAAGTATTAAACAATTCTCAGTTGATGTTGAGGCAAGGAGGTGCTGCTACTATTACAACTTATCATATGTATGCTGATACAAACTTAAACATACATTCAGATAAAATTAAGTTAGTCTTTATTTTTTTTTACCTACCATATTTCACTAATTTTATATTTTATTTATATATGTTTTTTTTTTTTTTCTTTAGTTATCAAGTAATAGAAGGTCCTCGCCAAGGAGAAATTGAGCTTGGTACAAATCTTGAGCCCTTAAAAACTACGATATTTAGTCAAGCTGAACTTGAAGCAGGGCATGTACGTTACCGGCATAATGGTGATGTAGAAAGTGTACAAGATAGAGTGTTATTTCGTGTGTCTGCTGGTAATACTGTATCTAGAGAACTAGAATTTGATATTAGGCTTTTACCGCAACATTATTGGGAACCCCTTGAAGTCACTAAGAATTCTCCAATAATAGTCGATGAATCAACTACAATTGCAATTACAAGACAGTACCTTGAGGTAGAAAAAATATACTTTTTATTGTTTGATTTTAATCTTAAATTAATTTTAGGTAAAACAACATATGGTGCCACCTACAGATATTATGTATTTGGTAAAAATATCGCCACGTTACGGATACTTAGAAAAGGAAGCCAGCGAAGAAGACTCTGGAAATCCAGAAAATAATCATTTGACCACATTCAATCAAAGTCTCATAAATAGTGGCCACCTTTATTATGTACAATCAACCATGAACCAAAGTACTGATAGATTGGTTGTTGACATTACCAATGGGGTTGTTTCATTATATGGTCTTGTTGTAAGTAATGTTAACATAAGTGTATACACAGAAATTCATTTTTTTTTTTTTTTTTAGATAAGTTTTGTGATTGTGCCAAAAAATGTTTATATAACTAACTCTCAGTTAAATGTAATTGAAGGAGGTAATGTCACATTGAGTACCGATACATTTCCAGTTATGAGTTCTTATTATACAGATAGGGTGTCTCGATATTCATTAGTTAGTCCTCCAAACCATGGACGTATTGTGCGTACCACAGCTGATACTTTTGATCCTACTATAGACTTTTGGAGTCCCAAGCAACTTGTGAGATCACAAATAATGGTTAGTTCAAATGCTCTCTCCTATTATATATTAAATATTAATTTTACTATGAATTATTTATTTTAGTATGTGCATGATGGGTCTGAGAGTACTGATGACAGTTTTTCAGTAAAAGTTACAGTATCTGATGAAAAAGAAAGTGCTCCAGTTGATATTGAAGTTAAAATAAATCCAGTGAACAACCAAAAACCATTAGTAGTAAGGAATACTGGCATTAAAGTTTGGAAAGGTGGAATCGGACTCATTACATCTGACAACTTGAGTGAGTTATGCATGAGACCATTTAATTATATATTAATATTAAAAAAATATATATATATATATTTGTTTTTTAGCTGTTGAAGACAAAGACACGGACGTTTCCAATTTGACCTTTATGGTTTCATCATCTAGATGTGGCCATGTGATGTTAGAATCGCAACATACTGAAAAATTTACTCAAGCACAAATTGATCAGAATATTGTTTTTTTCCAACACACTGGAGAGTATTGTGATGGTGAATTGGAAATGTCGGCCAGTGATGGTCCTCATTCTACTGGAATGATACTATTTCACATAACAACAGAACAAGCTTCAGTGAAACTTTTAGTCAATAGTCCACTGCGAGTATTTCCAATGCTTGGACGTCAGCTGACCATTGACCATTTATTAGCTCAATGTGATGATCAAAATTATCAGGTTACGTATATTGTAAGAAATGCACCAAGATATGGTATTATATCTAAGAGTGCTTCATACGAAGATTCAAATCAAATGGCTTTAACAAATTTCACACAAAAAAATATCAATGAATCTGCCATATGGTATCATCATATATCTAAATATTTTTCAAGTAATTCAACCAATGATGTTTTTACATTTGATGCAATGTGTGAGTATGCTGTTCCGATTGTTAATCAAGTAAGTTAAATAAATCATTTGTATATCATATATATTAATATCATACATGATTATATACATTATTAATTATAATTATTATAATATTATAGACTTTCAATCTGGAAATTACTGTTTCTTCTGGTGGACTTGAAGAACTTTTAATTGGTGACAAAACCAAAGAACTTGTGGTTAAAGAAGGAGAATCTACTATTGTTGATTTAAATACTACTGCAATTTTAACATTTTTAGTTAACAGCATTGGAATTAGGTCACCAATTATCAAAATTGATCTTACAAATGAACCCAAGCATGGAAAGGTATGTCTTGATGATGATTGTAAACGGCGTACATTTTCCCAAGGCCATATGCGACGTAATTTAGTGAGATATGTACATGACCATTCAGATACTCTTTCTGATAGTTTAGAATTTTCTGTGTATCTAGACATTGATCACACCATTGTACCTTTATGCAATGTTACCATTCCTGTAAGTATCACACCTGTAAATGACCAACCATTTTTTTTAACACAATCATATCCGAACTTAAGACTTGTTCAAGGACAATCCGTGACATTAACTAGATCAGAACTTTTAACAGAAGACCCCGACACACCTCCTGAACAAATAGTATATGACATTGTAACAGCGCCTGCCTATGGTACTATTTGCTTAGCTGGTATTAAAAATGCTGCAAGATTTACTCAAGCTGATATTGATGCTGGTGAAGTAGTTTATAAACACGACGGGCAGTTCAAACCTACAACATTTTATTTCCGTGTGTGGGATGGCCAGTTCAATCCAGTCTATAAGATCTTCCAGATATATGTCATACCTGTAACATTAAATGTGACTGTATCATTACCTCTACCATTACTTCAGGGAACATATGAAACTGTAGTAAACGAAAAACTGTTTCAAGTAATCACAAATGGAGACAAAGATTCAATTGCTTATAATATCACTATGAATCCTAGGTATGGTGTTGTTTATGTAAACGGCACTAAATCAAAATTATTTTCCCATAAAGATCTAAAGGATGGCAGAGTAGTTTATAGACAAACAGATCTAACTACTGCAGCTGATGCATTACGACTATCTGCTCAGATGCATTGTGAAGAATCACCTATCATAAAAGATTTGCGATTAAATGTCAGCGTTGAACCACTTGTAAAAACAGGTGCATTTTATCCTTTATCTGGATCAAAATCACAACTTGGCATTCAAGTTTTAAATGCTGAAATGTTAGCAAAAACAACAGGTTCTGATCCAAAGTATAAAATTTTAAAAAAACCAAAATATGGGAAGTTAAAAAAGATCGTTAGAAGATCTGGAGACAAACAAGTAATCCGGGAAGTCGATGTTACTAATGGCGATTTCACTCACAGTGAAATAGCCAGTGGAATAGTGTATTTTTTTGCCAAGAAAGTATTAGAACCAGTAGAAGATAGTTTTCCTTTTTTATTGACAGCCAATGGTGTGCAACCAGCAATCGGAGAATTACGATTTCATGTTTCTGTAGCAGAACCACCTTCTACTACAATACCTCATTTTCCAACTACTACATTCAAGTATTCCTCTACATCTGCTACCAAAAAATCTGATATCGTAGAAATAGCCAGACCAAATATGAGTGATGATTATTTGCTATGTGTCGGATTCATTATGGCTGTTGTGGTCGCATCACTCGTTATTGTAGTGCTAATACGGTGTCGATCAAAGAAACGTGCTGAAGAGTTAGACAAAATGAATCCTATGCCGTTGCCGTGTCCACCTGATGACTTAATGTCACCGTCACCGAGGATGGATAAAAATGAAAATCATGGATGTAAAGTTATTGCTTTGGGTCCTCCCGAACACACTGAAACAGAGACTGATTTTAATATGAGGTATCCATATGGCTCTGCCGACGAAGAATACAGTAGTAGCGCTGATGGTGCTGAACAAAATAATCCAATGCTAAGAAGGAACCAGTATTGGGTTTGACGTAAGTAGACAATAATGTCTAAACTATTATTTTTTAAGTTGGCTAACTAAAAATATCTATGGAATATGTTTTAAATTATTATTACTATTATTATTAACGTGTAAAATTAATAATTATGTTATAAGTTTAAAAATAATTGTATAATAATTTATCAGTATACCCAATTAGAGATAGTATTAAAAATCTAGTCTATAACATTTTTAACCTACATCACTTCTAAGATATGTTAAAAATTAAACTTAACTAAACATTTTTACATTAATTACAGCTAACTATTGAGTGACCAAATGAATTTGTTAAAACATGTAACACATTCAATTATTAAGCTTATGTGGTTACGTGTTGAATGAAAAACAAAGTATGATTTAAGTAAATCAGAATCTTTGTTTGAAATTGTGTATAATTTTAATTGTACTGATATAAAAATTGTAACTTTAAAATGGTTTGTGAATAATACATAATAATGTAACTATATTATTTGACATGACAATTATTTTCAACAATTTGTCTAATTTACTTATTTGACTGATTGTTTTTATAAACTATTTAGTTTGCTTAGACTAAAAATCATTTTAGTATTAACTTATGTATTTAATTAAAATTACATTGTAAACAATGTTTTAATTTATGTAATATTTTGTTATTAAAAAAATTATTTGATCTTCTTAAATTCTGTTTCCAGTTACAATATTTATATAATGTATTTAATGTACTTAAATCGAGGAAAACAACTTGTACTTAAATGTTTAGTACCCTTTTAGCACAAATGATGGGACCAGAAAATTATGCCAAAATATTGTATAATATGAAGTCCCGACTCAAAAACATTGGTACAATTTAGGTTAACCAATTTTATAAACTTGACATTTTTCTACATGAAATATTCATTTATGTTTAATAACATTTTTATTAAGAATGAGCTCATGTCCCAAAATGTAATTATAGAACCAATGTAATATGTCAAAAAGCTCAATTAATTTTTCTTGTACATACAATACTATTTTTAGACTAATATAAAGTAATAAACAAAATTATTATAAATGTTTAACAGTTTTTTTGTGTATATGTGTTGACATTCTTCTACACTCTAATATGGAAAGTACCCAAGAAATCTGGTGCTCTGAGTATGACATGTTCGAATTCCATGAAAGATAACTTTCCATCACCATCTACATCAGCTTCTTCGATCACTTTTTCACACACCTGAACAATTTCCTCGGTTGATAATTGATTACGTGTCAACAACTTCAATACTTGTTCTAAATCTGCAGGTCCAATATGATGGTCGTCGTCAAAATCTAAAATAAACCATAATCATTGATACAATTTTTGCATTAAATTCGGTAAATTAAAGTTAATAAGTGAGTGGATCATGACCTTCGTCCGTCCTAATCGGTTTTTATCCTAAAACACTAGATACCCTCGGAATAATATGTTAACTTGACGAGTCAAGTTTGAGGTAAACCACTGACAATGACCATTTATTTTTGATGTTCTCGATAAACATAGTAAATGGGAGCCATTTGGTGTTCACTACATGAACGAACGTAGGAAAATTGGACGTTTTTGATAAAATTGTACGGGAAACTGAAATAGTTGTAGTTAAGGAAGTTTATTTTTAAAAATGTCCCTGATAACTGAGAGGAGGTTAAGCCCCTCTTCTACGTTTGTGATTGGGGGATTGGCAGAGTTTAAGTATTTTCTTTGTTCTATCAGTCTGCCATTAAATTTACAAATGCATTGTACCTGTCAAGGCCGTAACTGGGGGGGCCCCCCCCCCCCCCCGAAATTGTTTTCCAGTTACGGCCTTGGTACCTGTACATACAATTCATAATGTGTAACTTTTGTAAATAGTATACTTTTAAATTCGTTACACTAATGACAATACCACGTATCTGGCATTTTACATAAAATGAGTTTTTGGTATCAAAATATTTGTTATCTCCTTGCACCTGAATTTTATTTTCTGTACAATAACCTAAAATAAATTATTTCTCCTCCAAATTGGATATAATATTTAATATTTTTATAAGTTTAAACCATGTTAAAGCACTGATAAATAACACCTATCTCACAAAAACTTTAGTAAATACCAACTACACTAAATTTTAAATAGCAACCAAATTTAAAGAATTTTATTAAAAATGTTGGATAATCAAAACTGAAATTTAAACTTGATTAAAATTTGAAGTGTATAATATTTATTAATATTTATTTAGTTTTTTCATTCTCCTGAACAATTAGTGAAATGTAGATACGTGGTATTGTCATTAATGTAACGAATTGTTCTTTTTCCCGTTAATAAGATTAATCAAATTGTTATTCGTTAAATTATTAAATAAATATAAAACCATCAACCTATTCATACGCTATAAGCCGCTGAATAAAAAATCTGTATATACTACTAACTCATTAAATAAAAATGTCCTCGGGGAGGGGCAGTCACCCCTCTCTGACCTTTTTTTCCTTCAATTTTTTGTTATTTATTATTTATATCACTTGAAACATACATAAATGTGAATAATTGTATGAAGTTCGCTACTCTCCCCCTATATAAAGGTTTAGGAACGCCACCGATCTGAACATACCAAGAACAAGGAGCTAATGATTAATGAAGTTTTTGAAGCCCCTTAAAAATAAAAATGTATGTTTTTAGAAACAAAATATTTAGTACAATCAAATACCTACATTAAAGCCTGCGTGTAACAGGGGGGGACCCTTCCAAGCCCGTACCGTATTTATAAAAAAATGTAAATTGTTAACAAAAAATACATATTATAATATGTACTATAATACGACACGCACAAGTATGTAGATAGAGCCATAGAGGTATGACGGTTGAAAGGAGTTTCTCCACACTTCGGAGACTAAAAACCCAAATTCAATTCTTAAAGTATTAATACTTTTTAAATGCAACAATATTTTTAAGAACAAATTTTTTGCTTTATGCAAAAAAAAACAATTTTAGTAATTTGTCACCGGTGTATCCCCTTAAACACAGGTCTGATTTTTTACCATAAATTTTAAAAGCGTAGAATACTTTGATCTGCCTCGGAGCTTGTTCGCTGAATACTGACAGCAAGTCTAAAAAATCTTCAAAGCTCAAAGACCCATTACCTTCTTTTGAAAACACTTGGCATATGCGTTCTTTAAACGGATTTTCCTGAACAAAAATGATTAGTTACATATTACAATAATTTATCAAAACACCACCTAATCATATTTACATGTTCCTTCTAAAAAATGTGTTGACTTGAACATGTACTATACCTTTAACTCGGGCAATTGTTCTATTCGTTCCTGTGGTACTCGGATTTTTACCGGTTCATCTCCTGTCATTTTTTTTGGTACCACTTCAGGACAAATCGCTCTATACCTTTTGTATACTCTTAAGACAAAAACAATTAAAATTATGTTAAAAATTCAAAAAAATCTTATTGGCCCGCGTACAAATTATATGGTATTATATATCTATTATTATATAATTTTTTGTATTATTATATTATATGTTTTTATGTTTAAAAATTAGGTAATCCACATTTAATGTTCATTACGTACATGGCGTACACATATTAATAAAAACCACAAACTCTTTAGAATTTTAAACATTCATAATAGTTTCAAATAAAATAATAAATTCATTTTATGAATTAAAAATTCTTATAGAAAAACACATTGAATCTCAAAAGGGTCAGTGGCGTAGATACGGGGGGGGGGGGTCCGGGTTCAAACCCCCCAAGGCCAAAAAAAAAAAATTGTAATATATACCATGTACTATACCAGCGTATTAAGTTTCAATAACAAATCTAATTTTTATATACTTATTTATGAAAATGCGTTATGCGATTTTTATTATATTGTATCATTATATTTATCATATATTTATTTGTATATACATATTTACACATTTTTCCGCCGTATAGGAACTTACATATGTATCTGGTTTTTACCATGTAGGAACTTACATAGGTACCTGATTTTTACCGTGTAGGAACTAACATATGTAATTGCTTACCTGCTTCTCTCGTGTAGGAACTTACTATTCCCCTTCCCCGTAAATACGCCACTCACTAATCCTTCACTTGGAACCTTAGATTGGGTTAGCCTTATCGAAATTCTAAATCTAAATACCACTTGGACTTCGAAATTTGTTAATACTGGTCAGTAATTTATTAGGTATTAGATGTAATATAGACAGAAGATGTGTGTATGATTACAATATTACAGAATGTATCAATCATTTTTATCTACTAATATAATAGGTACCTACATGTGATTTGAAAAGCGCAAAATATTTAAAAAATCGGTACATCAATAATGCAAATATCGATACTAGGAATGCACAAAACTTTTAAAAAATCGATAAAAAAATATTTAAAAAATATAATATCGATATTTGAAACAAATAAATAATTTTCGACACTTTGGTGTAGAAAAACATATCTAAGATCAAATATATCCACAAACAGACTAAATGCGCTAACAATTTTAAATATTGAATATCAATTAACTAACTCATCATATTAATTATAGCGACATAATTAAGATTTCACCAATAATCAATCAAGGAAAATGTACAAAAAAAAGATAATTTTATGTTTTATTAAGTTTATTTGTTAATTTAAAAAACATTTTCATTTTTTATTTTTTTACTAGTGAACGATTTTCATTTATTAATTTAGAAGTAAGATTAAATAATGAAAAATATGTATTAAAATACATATTGTATATTATATTAATATGAACATTAAATGCATTAATGTACAGAAAATATTAAAAAATCTCAATCATATATAAAATAATTAGTCTAATATTGTTAATTTGAAGTAGTATAAATTTATATGACCAGAGGCGCCAAATTTTTAAATCCAGCCCTGTATAAATATAATAAGCGATATTTATGTGACAAAATATCAATATAATTATTTTCATCAGTCTATATATAATACATTGATATTAGGAAAATATCCAAAGATAAATATCAACATTAAAATATCAATATTTTTTACAATAACGACATATTGATATTATTTGCGCATCCATATTCATGCATACATGATGCATAACATTTATTATTGTGACTGTAATTAGTAATTTTTTAAACCATTTGGATTTTTCTATTTTTCTTTCGAACTTACAATTCGATGAATAATAATACCAAACCTGCAATAAAGGACTATATTAGTAATTAATTCATGATCGTTATCTGCATTATGGATAACAGTAAGAGAAAAAAATGTAGAATTCGTTTAAAAACTAATAAGATAGGATACTCAAGATTACCGGTTTGAAAAAAAGTAAAAAATAGTCTGATGGAGAGGACAATAATGTAAAAATAACTTGTATTATGTAACAGTAGTTGGTAATAAGAAATGCATTTAAAATATACTCTAAAATCAATGGTAATAACCATAAGATTAATTAAATCTAATATAAATGTGAATGTATTAAGTCATCACAAGAGAATTGTTTTTTTTTTTTTTTTATTAAATCTTTATGATAGCAAATAAATTCAAAAATTGAAATACAATTGATAATTAATACTTTTAATATTTAATATTGGTTGAAAAAATTTAAAAATTTAAATAATTTATTGATTTACGGTTTTTTTTATGACTTTTGTCTTAATTATATTTTCCGATTATTTGTTTCTTGTGATAATTATCTCTATGGACAAAATACATACATTCCTAAACTTAATTAAAATCGACATAAAACCAAATCGCAGTAACACAGTGAGAGAGCCTATTTTACCGGCGGATAAATCAGTTATATTATGAATTTAGGCTTTTTTGTTTAAATATGAAGCAGTAACCCGATTAACACATAACTATTATAAGTTTTTATGTAAACATTTTAATTAACTATTTATGTAAAATAAAAAGCTTGCATCTGTTCTACTAAATTCTATAATTATCAGTAACAAGTTGACAATCATGGCTACTGCTATTACTACTAAGTCTATTACTACATCCGAAATTGACATTCATGCTGTTATTAGTTTTTTGTGGTTAAAAAATTATAAACCAATACAAATACATGGGGAGGTGTGTGTAGTTTATCGTGAAAAAACAATTTCGAAATATGCAGTTGAAAATTGATACAAAATGTTTAAGAATGTCCGAACGGATATCAACGATTATATATTATATTACAGTGGTTCTTAACCTGTGGTCCGTGATATTCATTTCGGGTCCGCGACAGCCCAAACACATAAAATACTTCAGTAGGTACGTGGCAAGGGGTGTATTATTATAATATTGTTGGATTATTATAATTATTAATTTCTTTTTCATATATTTTTTACTATACAATAGATAGATCTTATCTTTATATGACGTTCAACTATCATATTAAGTTAATAAAAATTAAATCTTAAGAATATTAAAAAAAAAAAAATATTAAAATTAACTGAAAAATTAAGTGTTATAAAAATAATTATCAATACGTATGTTTTATTAAGTGTACTAATATAATTAATTATATAAAATCATTAATATAATTTTGGTTTTTATAACATGAGATATTTTTTTAAAAAATAAATGAGTTCGAAAAAAAATTGGTAAGGGGGTCCGCATTTTCTAAAAAATTTTGATCAGGGATCCGTGATCTACAAAAGGTTAAGAACCGCTGTTATATTATATTATATACCTATTATATTGTGGCCATAAATGCTAAACCACGAACGCGCCCGGAGCTTCCACCCGAATTTGTGTCAACACATTTCTATAGATATATAATGGTTATTGTAATTCATATTTTTTACAATCAAATTTTTAGTTTTAATTACTAATGGCCTTAGTTAACTAAACAATTTACTATTATAAAAAAAAATTAGGTTGTTTATTTTAAGATATTATTTAAATTGTTTATATAATTATATAGTATTATATATAATTACGGTAACTATGTAGCTAACTTAATTGTCTGTATATTTTATATAAAGTACCATTAAAAATTATAAGATTTTGCATTATTTATAAGCACTTTTATATAATTTTATCAAATGTAATTTATGGGGCCCTTTAAGTACCAGACGGATACTGTCGTTTATGGTACTCTATAACAAGTAAACCAAGGAAAATAGTTAAAATAATTTCAAATTCTAAAACCAAAAGCATTTCAATCTAATTCATATCATAAAATTCACATTTATAGTTAAATATAAATAAAGAAACTTAGTTAAGTAAAATAACTAATAATAATAAGTAACCTAGTCTTATTTCATTGACATAAAAAATAATAATATAACTGTAATTTAGTTAGTATTTATAGCATCTTTAAAATAAACAAAATAAAATTATAATTAATAAAAAATACTTGTGTTGAAACAGGGCCGGCTGAGGTATAGGCGAGCTAGGCACCAGATAAGAGCGGCACTTTAGTAGGGACGGCATATTCAAAATTGACTCGTACAGTTCTATCGGCGTTTTATAAGAAAAATATTTAAACTAATTCGTTCGTGAAAATCACTTACCTATATAATAAAATAATATTGTCTAAAGTTATTGTATTACTTTATATTACGACTTACGCTGGGCGTTTTCAATTATTCTAATACATATATAATATATAATCACTTTCGCGATTTCCGACAGTTGCGATAGTACATAAAATAAAAAATTAAAATTGTTTTATGTAGATATATCACATAAAAATAGGGGGTGGGGCTAAGTTAAAATAAGAGCTCAATTTTTTTTTACAGGCAGCAAAATTTGATTTTGTCTATTGCACCATTTCTGCTTGGGCCAGCCCTGTGTTGAAACATAAATATACAAACTAGAATAATATTGAATTATGAAAATATTCGGTCCATTTGAATTCTGAAGAACTTCCATCAAGTTCAGACGAGTGTGTTGAACAGGATGTATAATTAATTGGAACTAAGCCCGGGAAGTTAAATTTTCTGGAAACACGTAATTGGAAGTACCGCTAGTTCAATCTGAATATTTAAAATTCTCCAGTTCCAATTCGTTTATTATTTTAAGTACATCCATTTTCGCTCTTATTTTGAATTCTGGTGAAAACTGTTTGACTGTAAGCGCTATACTTTTAAAAAATATATCAATTGAATCCTCTGCATTTTCTGTTTTAGACATTAAATGATTTCTTTCTTCACTTATTTTATTTAAAATTTCAGTTATTTTTGTTCGTTTTTTACTGGTTGATTCTCTCTCTAAACTATTTGTTTCCGCAATTGGACCAAAAGTTGATGCTGATGATACATTTTCAATTGTTGGCTTCATTTGCATAGAAATAATATTATCGTGTGAACTTACGTAATCCTTTTTAATTGTATCTCCTTCACATATCATATTTGTTACGCTCCTATTCAGCATAATTAATTATGAAAACATTATTAGTATTTAGATTAAATTTTATATATGAGTGCATCAAAAACTAAAAATGTATAGTAGATATATTATTACTGTCTTTTGTATATTGATGTATCCATAAAAGATAGAACATCATGAAGAATCCATTTTGAAGGTTTTTCTTTCGTAGCAGACCCAGTACCTAACTTTCTACTTCTCCTTCTTTTATTGTATGTGTCTTTAATGTTTTTCCAGCGCTTTTTACATTCGTCAACTGCATCAATATAATTATGATATATTTATTAAATTGTAATAATATAAATAAAATTATAATATCTGATATTCATTGATAAAATTTACTCATATAGTAACTTAACTAGTTGAAAAAAATTACCTATTATCTATGTATAATTATCCTAATTATATATAAAAAAATTATTTATTATTTAATACATTTTTTTTCAGTATTCATTATAATTTTTTTGCAGTTTTATATTTATATACATGTCAGTTAAGCTTTACCGACTTGGTGGTTTAACTCGTCATTTATACTTGAATTACTAACTATTTTAATTATTAATTGTAGTTTTTAGATAATAGGTATTTATAGAATACCTCGTAGTATTCGTTACTATCATCAGTTATACTACTTAATCATAGGCATGCAAACGAGGTGTTCCGGGTGTGCCTGAGCCGAATTTGGTAAATTGAGTCCCATTTTATTAATTTTAGGTAAACTGAGTAAAAAGGTAAATTGAGTACCTCATATAAAAATGAAATCGGTAAATTGAGACCCTCGTATAAAAATTAAAGTGGTAATTTGAAATATGGTGAAATGCTGTTTTTTTTTATTAAACACACTTTTAATTATAATTACACAATTTTATACTATGTTCATTAAACTTACATTTATCAGTTATCACATATCACATTCAGCGTTGTTGTAGATATTTGGGTACTAATATAAATGTTGCGTAATAATACGGAGCGAAATATAATAATATTTAATTATGTAACGATAAGATAGACCTATCTCACTCGGTGAATTTATAACTATATCAACGATTAAATTTACAATTTAAATACATTTAAATAAATTGAATACATTAAATATTTTAGATGGGACTCAATTTGCCGCTTTAACTGTTATACGAGAGACTAAGTTTACCTTTTTAAATTTTATACATGGGACTCAGTTTACCAATTTCAATATTATTACTGGGACTCAGTTTACGAAAAAAGATAAATTTGTTTGGGACTCAATTTACCTACGCCCATATTTTCGCCCCCCCCCCAGGGAAATTTACATTTTTTTACAAAAAATTATCTGAGATATATAAAGCATGTATAAAAACACACTATACGAGGTAATAATTACTAATAAACTTTAATAACTATTAGTATTATTTTAAAATATAAAAAATCAATACATTATAAAAAATATGCAATTTTCTTCAAATATTTTTGTTATACAATTGTGTTAGATCATAGGTTCTTAACCCGGGGTCCATGGACCCCTTGGGGGTCCGTAGATGACTACTCGGTGGTCCACGAGGTGGCTGTGAGTTTTTTTGAAATAAGCCAAAATAAATTTGTTTTGATAGTATTTTTAAAATATTTATAATTGTTAAAACACTCGAAAGCCATTTGAAAGACAACAATGTTTTTAAGTATAAAACTTAGATTACGATAATCTTATATGCCATAAAAAGCTATCGTAATCGTAAAATAATATAACATGGCAATACAATCTAACGAGCAGTTCAATTTAACACTGAAACCTATCACTTCTGTTGACCCGTCGCCGTATAGTAAAAATTATATTTATTTACCTATACATATATTTTTTTTTTTTTGCAGGGGGTCCGTGATTTTATTTTATGCTTTAAAGGGGTCCATGACTAAGAAAAGGTTAAGAATCTATGTGTTAGATGATTTTAAATGTATTTTAATACAATATTACAATGGTACTTTTCTTGCTTTTATAGAGGCAAATTTATCAATGAAATTATAAAATTAAATTGTTTTAACTATATCTTTTTCATATTTAGTGAAAAATATTACATAAGTAGTGTTGAAATTTGCACCCCTGGCCCATACCCTCTTGCCCTGCACTGAATTCGGCCCTGACCGGATTATCTATATTGCTGGTAATATATATTATAATATTGCCATATATTTTTTTCGATAATGAATCATTTTATTTGGACCCTCATATGATGAAACCATACTCAAAAATGGAATCAAGAAATTATTTTGAGAAAAACAATTTTAATTATCCTCTTTCGCAAACAAAAAGAACAACAGAAAGTAGTTCTAGACTTCTTAGTTGGGTATTCAGGTTTTTACACCCATGTTCCATTAAGAACACAAACCGTTGAATATCTCGTATTATTTGCGTGCTCCCTTCATTATCTTTTACGTAACCAATATAAAATAGAGAATACGTTAGAAAAACACTATACACATAATCAGTGGCGTATTTTCAGAGGGTTCCCGGGTTTTGACCCCCTCCATAGAATAAAAAAAGGTATAAAAGTCATAAATAATGATACGAAACTACAAAGAAAAAGAACATTAATTTATTTGTATTTGTATTTGTATTATATTAATAATTAATACAATTATTGTATTTGTATATAAATCTTAGTTTATATTTATTATACTATTAGAATAATATATTATTAATCCATACCTTATGTGTATTTTTTATAATATTAAAAAATCATTTATTTTTTAGAAAAATTTTAATTCCTCCACCCCCCACAAAAAATTTGAAAATACGCCACTTCATATACTTTTGACCAGAATGAAACTCCTCCAAATCATATGATAAAATCTTATCATATTTATATAAAACAAGAATATATACATAACGGGAGATTATGGTAATTACCAAGGGTTTTATAGTGAGAGAAGAATTCGAATAATTTTTCAATTCCTCATGAGGTAGGTACAGTTCCATAGCAAAATGATCAGACTTTAAAAACATATACATAAAAAAAAAAACGATAACAATACATATGTAATATAATATTCAACAATATGTTATGCATAACAGATAAAATAATTTTATTAATTATTATTTATTAATTAAAGCATTGAATATTATTTTTTAAATATATTTTATTACTTAATATTAAAGTACTAATATTTAATTTTAAATATAATTCAATTATTAATTATAATTTAAGTTTAAAATATAAATTTTTAATTTAGTAAAGTATGAAAAAATAAATTATAATAAACTATAATGTTATGTAATATAACTGTAATATAATATTATAACTATAATACCTGGTTGGTTAACTTTATTTGAAATTTGTTCCCATACATTTTTCCTCGCTGTTTGATCTTTGTACAATGCATGTTTTGAATCATACAAACAAGGGTGATATCCAACTAGTTCTACTAACATTTTATCATCTTCAGATGAAAATATAACTTTAGAAGACATTTTTATTTAATATTTAGGTGTTCAGATATTTTGTAAACACGCACGCGACCGCGTCTCGACTGCCTCCGAAACGATCATAGCCGCGCGACTGTAAACGCACGCGGCAGACGCAGTTCGACGACATTTAAAAATAGTTAAAGCATTCCCAACGCGACCAAAAATAGAGTCGCGCCAGTCGCGCGTTACATAGAGTCGCCAGGAACATAAACGTAATTATAAATTCAAAAATACAATTAAAAGAAGAACTTGATATAAATTAATAATAATCTTAATTTACAGAATAACAAATACATAACATTGACTTAACTAAGAACATTTTTTTTAGTTGAAAGTCTTTCACAATCAAACACATTTTAAGTTATAATCCATAAATTCATAAATTATATGCGTCCGATGGATGTAATATTGTTATTGTTCGCATCAACTTTTATAAATCTATTCTGGATCGTGTTAATTATATATGAAATATTATTCATATTAGAGATAAAACATTTTATTTTTATTATTTTAGTTTCAGTTATACAGTGGTTGTACTTATACTACAATTTACTAAATTTAAAACTATTACTAATTATTTAACAACTGTTTGTTTCGTATACACTATGAAGTGATAAACGGAACATTTTATGAAATTTTATCGAAGAACGAATTACAATTACACGTATTGATGTAACATTATTATGTGAATATGTGAATACCTGTACCCTGAATATTTAATTTTCGTGCAGTGAACAATAACTAATGAATTAATAAATGTTGTATTTTCTCAAATTGAACGTTTTAACGGTAATAATGTAGTATAATATATTAGTATAAATCGACGTTTATAACTTTAAATCATCGGTTCCAAAACTATGCTCCGTAGAGCCCTTAGGGCTCCATTCGTTTTAACACAGAAAATGCAATAACATAACAATTATTGATAGTTAATTAAAACAACGAGCGTTTATATTTTTACAAGACTCCGTCAACTAAAATATAATTGTTTAATTTTAGATAACATGTATTCCAATTTAAATTATTTCCCGGTCAGATGTATACATATAAATATAATATGTATTAAATGTACACTATCTCGATTTGAGTTCCTCCTATTTAAATACATATCATATGTAACATACTTCGTAGAACAAAGGCAAATAAAACATAATACTAAACATTTCTTGGGGCGCCACGAGAAAATACTGATTAAAAAAAGGATCCGAGGCTGAACAAGTTTGGGAATCGCTGCTTTAAATAGACAGATATATGTACTATTTGACGTTTTGTAAATGTATTGTAGTCCTAAAAAATCAACAAAATATTTTACCAGTAATAAATGAAATACCTACTTACATTTTCGATAAATAATTATTATTAAGTACTTGAGCGTCCAATGAATTTCAAAAAATAATATAAAAAACATATATGTTATTATAAAATTTAGATATCTGCAAATCATATGGCAAGCTGTATACATTTATAAATGTATTTTAATTAATACAGGCTGTAACACAGTAAAAACAATAAGCATAATTTACTGATATACTGTTATGGACACGAAGAGAGAATGAGATGCCTTCTAGTGGATGACTTCAATATTTATGACAAGAATAATCTAGCAGTTTTGTTACGTATGACTTCAAATTTTTATACAATATGTCTTAAAGACGTATATACGTGTGGCGGCCTCGGTATGAGTATATAAAATACAATTAAAAAACAATTTTGATTTTTATGATTTCATGTAACCGAATGAGATTAGCATGAGCACTGTAATTTTCTACCACGTATTTATTTATTTATTTATATATATAAACGGACGTAAGTCCTATACTTTATGTTGAAATATATTATAAAAACTTCGTATATAAATTGTTGACTTCCATACATTTCGTTATCTGCTTTGTGTACATGGTAACAATAACATACATGGAGAATTCACTTTTACAAATATTATTTATACTCGTATTTAATCGAGGTTCAAAATAATGATGGTACTCTATTTACACTATTAATCTAAAGCCTCAAAACAATATAAAACTGGTTTTAATTAACCTGAATATTTATAAACGTATTAAACCGGTTATTTGAATTAAACAAAATACAAACGAATATAATAAAATACCTTACGAAAACCATTCTGGTTTTAAACTCTATGGTAAGATAGATTTAAAATAAAAAAATATTATGTTTCTTCAAAAAAAAAAAAAAAATAGCCCACTATATTTCTGACCGTTATTATATTTAAGATTCGACTTTTCCAAGAAAACAACGTCTCATTATTAAAAATTAAAGAGTTTCCTAGTCGTCATGATTTCAAAATTAATTTTAATAAAATAATATGTTCATTTATGTACAGTAATTAAAATTTATTTCCGATAAAAAGGTTAGCAAGCAGCAACGTTTGCCTTATTAATTTTTACTTTATTAAATTTATTGTAGTTGTTCTTTAAATAGTTTTTTAATGTTTATTGTTACGTACACACCGTACGCTTACATAATATTTCAATATAGTTTAAATAGCAAAGACATGCCTATTTTAACAAATGCACAATTTTATCAAAATCCCCTTTGGTCCTAAAGAAACAAACATGTGTGGTAAAGAAAAAAAATACTACAGTAACATAACGCAAATATGCAATACACGTCATCTCCTGTTAGCACACATGTGCACCACGCAGTGACTAAGTAACATCGCAGCTATAACTATACTTACCTAAGTATTTCCTTCCTGGTGAAAAAAGTACAGTCCTGTAAACGGGGGAGAAAAATAAAATAAAAATAAATCAAGAGCCGTGGTTTCCGGAACTTGAGTGTGTGTACAATGTACACTGTACATGTAAAATAATATATTTAATAGTGCCATTGAAGAGTTCCACAAAATAATCCTTGTTTTTATGTTTAAACAATTTGATAAATTGAGAACACTGCCAAGGAAATAATATTACGAGTATTATAATACGTAACAACTAAAAACACTGTAATTATGACTACGAGTAGCTTGTACATGCCGAGTCTTTGAAATCACAAAATTTGAACTTGTCAATAAAATATATTTTCATTCCAACTATCAATACTAATTGCAATTAATTTCATTGTATACTGCGGTTATTGATACACTTAACTCCGAACGTTGGCTGCAGACCACGATAAGTTAAACCGAAGTAATAATTGAGTAAAGTCATGGTCTATGAATTTGACGATTTAATCTCAATCAGAAGTATCTCTAACATTTTTTAAAGGGTAGTAGGTTGAACTTCATGCATGATTTTACAATGTACTTTCATGTATTTTCCTAGTGTGGTATAAATAATAAATAACAAACATTTTAAGAAAAATGGCCATAGGGATTGAAGTCCTATTCACCCTCTCTGAGGACGCCCCTGATCTCAATAAATACTAACTATAGTTATATTTATATACAAAAATAAAACATACATTTTTCTTTCGCTGTCGCTAATTTGACTGTACAAACATTTGTTCTAAAGAAGGATGAGTCATTAGGATCTCCATCCACTCGTTTCCCTCTCGGCTCTTCAATATTTTCGGTACTGGCTAGTCAATAACATTTTAATAACTATTTGAAAAACAAACAATTAATTTGTTTTGCACTATCGTTTTATTTTTTTACGAAATTTTGTTTTGACTCTTGAACATCATAAGCGCAACTAGAGCTTATATTTGGGGGGGGGGGAGAGCTATAAATACCAAGATAACACTGACCCGCAGGGACTACATTACCACGCCCATATCTACTAATTTATATACGAACAAAAGTTGTCACTGCTATACATTCAATTCAAGTTTTAGCAAGAAGATAAAAAAGCGCGATTTTATGTACCAAATTCAGATTTTGAATATTCCTAAGTAAAACGAAATCAATAATACACTGAATAGCAACTTAATAATTATACCGTGTATTGAGATTATACATAGATGATTACATTTTGCCTCGATCTCCAACACAAAATTCTGAGATTCATTATTTTTAATCTAGGAAAAGGAACTAAAAATATTTAGGGGGTTAAGCCCCCTAAGTTTTGTCTATGTTGAACATATAATATTTAAGACAATATTTTGCTAAAAATTAAATAAAAAAAAAATAAACAATCGTCTAACAAATTTTATGAAACAAAATTCCACATTAATAAATCCCAGTAATTATTATTGATATATGATAACCAATTTAACCCAAACCGATTATATTAATTATTAATTATCACTGTGATTAAGCATAATTACGTAGTTAACTTAACAATTAAAATTGTTTTTATAAGTAAGCTTGTCTTAAATTTATATTTTATGCTCACCATGTACTCAGGTAATATAATATAATATAAAAATAATAAGATAATATATATGAAATATAATTATAGTGATTAGAGATACTTTTTCGTAAAACAGTATTATTTTTTAAAACATTAACATAATAATATTAATTACATAAAATTATCTCTTTTTTTAAAAATGTTACGTGCTAATACGTGTTTATGATTTTTTCTTATATAATTCGTTTACATTTTATGGTTTGACTTAATGCATGAAATTAAAATAAGTAATATTTTTTTTTAAAATTATATGAAAATGAACAGATTCCAGTTAGACACCAAGAATTAGTACACCAATTTCTATTAAATCATTCAGAAGCAAATGCATCGATAGAAAGTATATCACAAAATATGACATTTATATAGGTAGTATGTACCAAGTACCATAGTCCAAAAATTTGATTTTATATTATAATGAATATTATCTGTAAATCATAATTAACAAGAGTACAGATTTCATATTATGGAAAAGTACTGTAATGTGCACTATAATATGACCGAAAAACCTTAAAATATACTCTACCCTAAAAATATAAAAAGAAAAGAAAAGTAAATCAAAATTTAATTTAATTTATTATTTTTAACTGACAGTTTTTTTATTTTTTGAATTAGTATCTACAATAATAATTTTATGAATATATTTATTAAAAAAAAAAAATTATCTTCTGTTAACAATATAAAAAAATCGGGACAAAAAACAAAAATGTGAGAATTTTTCTTATAATACATAAATAAATACTATTTTTCAGTCAGTATAAATAATATTTATAATACATTCTAAATAAAGCATTATATTATTATGCTTATAGGCAAATAATAGCACCAAAACTTCGAAAATGTTACTTAAAATCTAAAATACCTTAATTATGCAAAAAATAACAAAATTATTAATTATTATTATTATAATATTACGCAAATATATAATAAATATGTGTATATTATGTTATAATCAATTCATTATGAATTTTACACATTTCTAATAAAAAATTAGTTCAAATGAATTCGGATAATTCAGTTAATTCTCGATATTGGATTTTATCGCGGAAACAATAGATTTTAATAAAATATAATTTTCTAACGCTTATAACATTTTTTTGCGCTGCTCCGGTAAACTTTTTTGGTTAGCTGGAAAGAGCAACTTCTCTAGTACATTACATTACATTTTAAAAAATCTTACATTAGTATATTTATACATATTGGAATGTTTATCAACTTTTAATTATCAAAAATAGGCAGACTTCGTGATTTTTAACAACATTTCAAATTTAAACGTTTATTTTTAAAAATCATGAATGCGGATTTTTGAAATTTTTTTACACGAGTATAAAAAATGTGTCATAAACATTGTATCGAAATTTCAAAATTTTATGGCCAACCAATATTTTTTTTTTTTTTTGACGTTACACGAAAAAAAATAGGATAGCGGAGAAACGATCGCGGCGAAACGGATGGCGGCGAATAGTCCGACGACAAAACGGTCGCGGCGAAATGTCCCCGAGTCCGACAAATTTCATCCGGCCAGCAGACGAAGAAAAAAAAAATAAAAATTGAAAAGTAAAAATACTTGCTGCCGAACAAATATTATATTATCGCTCGTATCTTAAAGTTTGAATAGGTGACCGTCTACGGAACATGCTGATTACGCGTCAACGACTGTTCTTCAATTGCCACTGTTTCACGTCGACTTCATTCCTGTTGTATTACATTATTATTTACCTATTTTTTTTTTTATACTCGTATTTTTTTTTTTCTTTTTATACATATTAAGGACAAGAAAGAACAGTTGAATTTGAAAACATAGATTTTACTTGAGTCGACGGGGAATTATATAAATTTATTTATCCGATCGCTCAGGGGCCTTATCAATTTGTTTGATTTACCACTAGACGTAGCTGTTTTTTAATTTTTTTAATATTAAGCATCATTACGAGACTTAATATATATTAATTGCCAAGTTTATTTTTGCATTTTATTATGTTAAAAACATTTACTTTGAATTTTGATGGGCCCCGAAAATTTTCAAAATTCCCAATGTGGCTTTCCAAAAATATTCCAAAATTAATTGTTGACCCTTGACATACACCGAATGCCTTAACATTTAATTTACAATTGTATTATCAATATTAGTTGTACCAATAGGCTATAACAGCGGTTCCCAAACTTTTCATTCAATGCTCCCTAATAATTAAACATTTTTTTCACACCTCTCTCAAAGAATGATAATTTTTCTATAATGTCTATTCCATCCATAAACCAAACATAACATATTAAATATTCATCTTTATTATCATGGGCGTAGCTAAGATTTGAATCAGGGGAGGGCAAAAACATAAAGCGATTAGTGTTAAACTCGTAATTCAAATAATCTACAGATAGACCATTGGATAACACATAAAATGTCAAAATGATTACACTTGTAGATAACACTCGGTCCCACTAAACTATTTTTAGACTTATGTCTTATTTAATTTTTGATTTTAATGTAAAACTTACACGTTTGGTATAAACAAATATAATTAAGTTTGAGGTGCAGGGGTGAGCAAGTGCCCATGTTTATTATTATCGGTTACTTCATCAAGCTGAATCGCGACATTTTTATTTATTAATTTATCAGTATGCTGATCATTTATATTATTTGAGATATCTTGAATTCTCCGACTGTTAATATTATTAGACAAAGGTATATTTTTAAGTTGGTTGGCTACAGATTCTCCTATCAGAGTAGAAAGCATATGATATGGGGCTATATAATATACCTATTATGCATAGGTTTTTAACTGGGGGTCCATATATGGTTACTTGAAGATCCACGGGGTGGTTGTGAGTTTTTTTAAATAAGCCAAAAATAAATTTGTTTTGATAGCTTTTTTAAGATAACAATAATACTTGTTGAACGACTTGAAAGCATCTTGGAAGACAACAATGTTTTTAAATATAAAACTTAGATTATGATAATCTTATATACCATATAAAGTTATCGTAATCGTAAAATAATATAACATGACAATACGATCTAAGGAGCATTTCAATTTAACTCGGAAACCTATTACTTTAATTGACCCGTCGCCGTGTAATAAAAATTATATTTATTTATTTGTATACATATATATATATATGTGTATTTTTTTTGAAGGCGGAGGGTCCGTGATTATATTTTATGCCACGGCCATATGTCCATGGCCCAGAAAAGGTTAAGAATTTATGCTATAATGTATAAACCATACCATAGTATATTAACAGTTATTTGTTGGTATCAGTGGCGTAACCAGAACTTTTAATGCCCGTGGCAAAATAATCCAATCGAGCCCTTAGTTTTATAAATTTGGAAGAACGAGATATGAGGAATATCCTTTAAAAACTAACCACCTATACAATTCTACCTTTTAAGGCTACAAACAATAAAAAACATGTTTAGTGTAATAT